ATCACATTTTCAATTTTTCTGCTACCAAAATCATTAAAAAAAATCTTCCATTGGATAATTGAATTTTCTAGAGGCATTTCACATTCAAAAAAATCTTTCTGTTCTAGTTAACGATCCTAATTCCAATCCAATCTTGCCTTCGGCCTTTAAGAAATTATGTTTTAGTTCTGGTTTCATCAACAGATGGCACCACTTGCTTATTCCTGTCCAGGCTTTCTTATCTTATCTAGTCATTATTTCCTATCTTGTTCATTTGCAGTTTTGCAGCTGAGGATGGTGGTTCGGTAAAAACCATCAAAACTAGTCCTGCGAAAATTTTGAAAATATAACGCTGATTTTAGTTGTTTGACTTCTGAATTAGTCTCTTGTATTCCTGAACTTTTTCGCTGAATTTGCATTTACCTATGATAGTTCAGTTACCCATTTTATCTGGCTTGCATACTCTGAGATAGTTTTCATATATGAATTTTCTCATTTTCTGGATGTTATATTTATCCATAGAAGGCTTAGTTTTCTGATTCTCCAATAATGCCTAAGCCATTTTATTTCTAATGGTGGTGTATGAAAATCTGTGATATTCTTCATTACTATTTCCACGCTGGCAGTAACTTGCTTGCCATTATTATCTATTTCTGAAAATATTTGGGCCCCTTGGAAAAAATTCTGGCTCTATTCATATATGCACCCTCAGGTTGCCAAATGCTGCGATATGTGTTGTGTGGTGGTTTTTGGTGCGATTGAGTGTTCTGCGATGGTTTTGGGGGCGATGTTGGTTTCTATGGCAAACCCTTTTTACATGGAAACTTGGATTGGTTTCAGTTGCTAGTTGGTTCTTGGTTCTGCGGTGTGTGGTTTTAAATTATGTTGAAAGAGGTGATAGTCACGTTCCTGGTACAATTATTTTTTTGGATGGCTGGAAATTCTACAAGTATTTAGGAGAAGATTGTTTTGAACATTTATTTGTGAATAGTGAGTCTGGCTGTCATATAAATATGCTAGAGATTATGTGGCGGCATGTTAAAGCTACATTGCCTACTATATTCAGAAATATATTTTTGAGTTTTATTTGGTGGTTTATATATTTTTCCATCGTTGTTCTGAAACGGGAAAAGATGCTTCTAACAAATTTATGGTGAAATTGTTTTAGTGATATTTGAAATTGGTATATCTGCTGTTCGAAGAAGCATTCATTCATGTTAAGTGCATTTTATTTTATTCTTGTTCTTATTTTGTAGGATGTTATGTTCGTTATTTTTTTAGTATGAATTTCTGTTGTTATTGTTGTTTTATTTTAATTGTTTGAAATTTATTTTAATTTATTTTGTTGATTAGTGTGTAATGCCTAGATTGTGCAATTCGTAGATTTTTTTTTAAAGTTTAAACAGAATGCTGTGTACATGATATTCTTGAAATTTATTGTTGTTATGAACTTTATTTATTGTTGAAATTTATTGTTGTTGTTAATTTATTAAAGAGAGGTGTGCTTATAGTTCATAGATTCCTTCGCTGGCTAGATTGTGCATTTTGTAGATTTTTTTAAAGTTTAAGCAGAACAACTGTGTACATAGTATTCTTTGAAATTTATTGTTGTTATGTTAATTTATTTAAATCAGGTGTGCGTAGTTCGTAGATTCCTCTGCTAAAGCATATCGCTGTGTACATGGATTCTCGTCAAATATTTTTGTTTGTGTTTCTGATTTTTAGCTTAAATTGTGTGTTCAAAACGTAGTTTTTGCAGACGTTTTAGGCTTAAAGTTCGAAATATAGACAAAAAATGTGGGTAGTTATATGGTGATGTAGAGTTTCTCATGAAAATGTGTAAGACTTTCACTATGTAAATCTCAGTTACTGTAGAAAGTGACAAATCTTAAGAATTAGACAGCGAATAATCGCTTAAGTTCGTGTGACAAGAAACAACAAGATATAAGGGTAACTAACCCTTTATTATTTCAATAAGATTTAACAAAACTCCGCCTTGGAGTGTACAACCAAAGCCAACACTTGGGCTTGAACTTAACAGACTAAGAATTAAACTAAAACTAAGATTAACTAAAGAAATATAGCCGAAGCTATCAAGTTTCTAATGCAGTTGGCCCCTAAAACACCAGATGACTGCGAAGCTATCAAGGGCCTGAGTACGGCCAAGCGTAATAACAGCTTTCAGAGAGAGTGTGGCCAAAAGGCAGACGCGCGTAAATCAGATTCTCTCTCTCTCTAAACCAAAAAACTTCGTGATTAAATACCGCTCTTCCTCATTATGTATTCAGACGTGATTCTAAAACTACGTTTTGGCTGGAAGTAGTAAGTTGAAGTTAAGAATTTGACAAGAAAGGAATTTTAACTTAAAATTTAACTGTTAATAAAATTAACATAATCCTTACAAAAGTTTGGCGAGAAATTTGTCGCCAACCGAGGGCATATATGAGAGTAGTTTCAAAATTCTTAATTCTCATTGAAATTTCAGTCTTGGAAAGATTAACTTCTGTGTTGAAATCTAAATTTTTTCAGGAAATCTTATTATGCATTTTTCTGGCTATGATATTCGTTTTTTTTTTTTTTTTTTTTTTTTAAACGTCTTTCTCTTTGTTTCTTTGTTATCATAGTAATCATTATTTTTTTTTAAGATTCTGTCAAAAACAAAAAATGGAGTAGGGGAGGTAGGAGCTAGTTTTAACAGGAAAAGTAGTAACATGCACAGTTCACAGTTGTTTTTTAAATTTTTAATGATAAGTTTCACTAAACATAATGACTGGCCATATTATTTAAGCACTGACAGTGCCCCACTGAAATGGATAATAAGAGGTTGTGTGCATGTGCTCTCTGTCTTACCTAGTTGAGGGGGGAAAATATTTCATAAATTTTGAATTAAGGTAAGTTAACTGACCTTTTTACATGTTTATTTTGTCTGTGAATAAAGTTTTAAAATGCTTTAGTTTTTTTACTAGTTGTAATATTTTTTTTTTGTAAATCAACAAAAATGTCCAAACTACCATATGCAATGCACAACACTTTGTGTGGTAGGAAGGAACCTGTCATATATGAAATTTTACATGGACTAAGTATAATTCAGTTGAGATTAAAACTCAGCAAGATTAGAGCAGATTTTTTCCATGCTCATAATATTCCTTCACAACAACCATGCTTGTATCAATCATTCAGTCAAGCACCATTGCCATTTTCATATACATTCTTTTTGTTGTATTCCAAATAGCAGCAGTTTCTTTTTTAGACAATGATATTGTTTGCCTTGAGGTTAATTTTAAAGTATGGTCTTATGGAGTTTGTCAGCAATATAAGAAACTGTAGAAAAATTTCTGCAAGAATGCAGAATTTTGCTGCAAAATATTTTAAAGGGAACTTCCAGGAACTGCATTTGGTAGGTGGCTTTCGGAGTTTTATGTGGTGATATGAGTCTCTGCTATTTTTTCTAGCAAAAACAGATCACTGTGTACTTGGAGAGAGAAATAGCACAAAATATTTGGGGGCAATTGTGATTGTTTTATTTTTAAATTTTTATCATAATTTTCATTTTAAATTGCTAAAACATGCTTTCTTTTCACATGCTAATAATGTTTGGGGAATTGTGATAAATATTGATAGTTTTTAATCTTTTTTTATTTAAAAAAAAGTTTCAAAAACCACCAACTTACACCCAATAAGTAATTTTTATCTTTTTATCTGTAAAAAATAAGATTGTGCCAAAGTGGTTGCACTAATACCTACATACTAAATTCAGTTTCAGAACTTGTCTTAATTTCACAGATATGAAAGCACATCTCATAGCACATGCACAAAAATACATACATATTACCAAAAAACGTAGAGTAAAAATATATTTACTGGTACCCCTTGGCGATACATGGACACCGAGTTTGTGAAATTCTTTGCCTTATTATTTTGACTATGTGTAGCATTGCCACTACACAAAGCTAAAATAACAAGCCAAAGAATTGCACAAACTCGGTATTCATGTACACATCAACCTATTTTCACTTAAAAAAAAAAATCGGAGAATTGCACAAACTTGGCATTGCGCACTCTCTTGACTTTGTCCATGTACACACCGATGTATATTCACTTGAAAAGTCAAAGGAGCAGCCAACAAAAATATGTAATCTCAATAAACTACATTTTAAGTCAAACAATGAAATAACATAAAAAAGGAAATTCATCTTAGCACTACATAAAGGAAATATCCACTTACCTTATTTACAAATTTCCCTGTCTTCAGTCAAACAAAATTCCTTAACAGCATCCAAAAACTTCCTAAAATTATCTGAACTAGAATCTGTATACTGGCGTCGCCACATGAATTCACAAAAACAAGAGTAAAATGTACCTGTTGTAGTGCATTTCCTTTATACAAACAGGACACTTATAATGACAACTAAGTAAACCTTTATTTACACACCAGGTCAGTTAATGCTTTTTTCCCTTTTTGCTCGAAATCGTACAGAAACTTCAAATTAATGTTACAACATCCAGCCATTTTACCATGTAAACCACAAAATAACATACCAAAATCTGTTCCATCATTCAAATTCACTGCAATCACACAACCAATTATGTCAAAATAGGGTTTCCATAGCATTCAACTACTCAGGTTACCATAAATGAAACAACAACTTGGCAATAAATGAAACAAGAACTTAGCAATAATCCAAGTGGCACCCTTTAATCTACTCTGACCAAGTATAGAAATGAGGCAAGCTATATAGAAAATGAAAATATATAAATTAGCAATATAATGTTGCTGCATATGAATAAAATGTAGATATATAATAATATAATTAAATTCAAAATCTTGTTTCTTCTGGCCATTTTTTTCCCATAGTTTTCTCCACTTTGTAAGAAACAAACCAAGCCCATTGACTGACTGTATTTGCATGTAAATTATGTTTTCCTCCTAAAAACATTTTTGTAGATCTAACAATTGTAATTTTTCAGAAATATGTATTTTTACATACATCACTATTCTTACTTAAGAGATTTCTTTTTAGAAGGCCAAAATACCCGTGATGGCACGGCTTCGATATGAAGTTTCGTCAAAGATTGGCTTGGTTGCTATTATTTTTGTACCTCTTCTTGTCTCTCCTGGTCGTTTATTATTGTTTTGAACTCAGCGATCAATATAGTGCTTTGGCCCTGGAACATTCAAAGCTGCATCATTCATCATTCGATGAACAAAGTAATGTTTCTTGGATAGTAAAAATGTGGACACACTTACCTGATGTGCCATTCTTCCTGTGGGTTTTTATTTTTGCTATTCCTTATCTGCAAATATTTTTCTGTTTGTATATATGTACAAAGCCAAATCCTAAAGATATGATTTCATTTATACCTTTCATATTTAATTCTAAAAGACCTCTAAGATATGCAATATGTAACATTTGTGCAAAGTTTATAGGCTTTTGCATACAGATCTGCTGAATTGTAGTACCATCTGGTTTCATATTTTATAAATATTATTTTTATTCTCAGGAATGTATTATTCATGCATTTTGTAAATGAAATGGGAGCTAATATATATGTATCCATATATAAATGCCGTTATTTTCATATTTTCTTTAGCTTATCGAGTATTTTAAAATCAGATTTTAATTATACGTAATCTATCAAAATGTTATAAATATTTGTTGCAAATTGTCTAGCACATCCACCATTAAAATTCCATTTTGAAAAATTCGAAATGAATATACTTATGTTCTTGTCCATCCATACCTATTGATAGTGTGAAAAAATTATGAATTCTCAAAATTTTCTGCCTTATTATATATTTTATAATAGATAAATGGCTAATTTTCTCTTCATTTAAATCTAATAATTTTTTGAAAATGAAGATTTTTAGAAAATTGAATAATCATAATTGGTATTATGACATAGGTCATAAAAATGGGAATTTAAAAAAAAATGTTTGCTATGTCAATTTGCATCTAGCGGTTTTTCATGGTTCACCAAATAAATTTGTTCTTATTTTGTTAGTTGAGGCTAGAAATATGAGAATTTTAAAAAATTATATGTATTGTGCATATGTAACTGTTGCCTAGCTTTCTTTAGATCTGTGGCTGTATTACAGAAACAGTAAGATTCACTGAATGATAAATTATGAAATAACTTTTGTCACCTATGCAAAATTAATTTTTTTGTATCTGTGATATTGATACACACATATATAGTAGTGACGTTTTTTAAAAAAGATTACATGCATATACAGTTAACTCCTTCTAATATGATGACCTACGATTTCATGTAATTTTGGTCTTTTTTAGTAAATTAAACCAAATCTAAAAATAGTGATTAAACCAAGTCTAAAAGTAGCGATAATTTTTAGAGCTGGTTGACATGAAGTTCACTGTATGTATGCAATTTTTTTTAACTTGATGCATTTATATATACATAAAAGTTATGTTTAAACATGTTATATACAAATTATGCTGCTACATTTTGTGCTTGTAGTGTGAAATACTGATTTTTATTAGTAATTTACATTTTGAATTGTATTCATTATGCCTGTACTTGAACTATTCATAAACTTTTTTATTTGTGGAGCTATTTTAGAATTAAGTTCTATGATGGAGTTCCATAGGCCCACTCTGTGTCTTAGTTCTTAATGTCTAAAAGTAGTATTATCAGAAGGAAAAGACGATAGATATTAGTAATATAAAGACATATCTAAACAATTGCATAATATCTGTCATTCAAATGATTTCAAAAACTTAGAAATTTACCATACTATTTAATTTTATTCTCAACTAGCATCAGTTCCCATAGTATTTTCAAAATTTGCCATACAAATTTTATTTTGAATTTCAACAAATGAAATGTTTGTTGGCAAGAGTAAAAAAAAATGCCTAGAGTAAACACAGTTTCTTCAATTTAATCATTAAGTCCAACTCAATTAATTACATATTCTTTCATTATTTGTTATGCAAAATTTTTGGTCATTCATAACAGAAAACAATTTTAATTTAATTTTATTACAGTACACTGTAATAGGCTTGTATTAAGACATAACATAAAATAATGTAAAAATGTTTAATGAGATATATGTGGTTGCAATTTTTGGCACAGTTTTCTTATTTCAGTCGATGATAATTGCTGGTGAATGTCTGGTTCTACATTTAAATGCTTCTGCATTTTGTTTTAGTACATAGTGGAAAATCTTGCTTACAGAGAAATGTAACTCAGAGAGGCAGCAATACTAATTTTGCATTCTCAAACAAGAATTCATCTTGTAAATGCAACCAAAACACTGGGTTGACTTTGATTCACAATTTTTAGTACTCTGAGAGATGTTAGATCTGTAATGATGCGATAGTTTGCTGAGATTAAACTGGGTAGTTTTTGGTTCATGCTGACCTCATTCAGAACCCATTTAAAAAGTCATCAAATATTTTGTCTTCAGCTGTTGGAAAATAACACTCAAACAAGTCTTTCAAAGCTTTGAGAATGTGTAAATATATTTTTAAAACCTTTTTCTTGAATTTTGATGTTATTTTCATTCAACAGACTTTCTGTAATGGGATGCAGTTGATGTCATCTTTACCATGCACTACAGTCAGCACATAAGTTTCTTCCTAAAAGAAGATACTTGGACATTTGCATTGAGATCAATTTTTTTATCATTCTGCTGAAAATATTGGCCAAATAATGCCATTTACATGCCCAGGTTTCATCATTTTAAACTGTTACCATTAGAGAGCTATGTCCATCAAAAATGCTGCTTGCTACTTCTGCATGCAGTTTTACCAAGACTTTACTTCAGTGTGTAACAGGAGGGTCTCATGGTGGCTTTTTATATCTTCACACATTGGTTTGAAAAGTCTGCTTTTAAGAAGACAAGATTTTATATAGTTTATTACTTTTATAGCATCATTTAACACAAGCATAAGCTCAGAAAGTATCTTTTTCAAGGCTAGTGCATGTCTGTGAAGAATGCAATGACTGCTGTTACATTTTTTAATTTAATTTTAGCAATGGCTCCAGTACTGTGAGCATTGTGACCCATCATCATCATCATCAATACATGTAAATGCAGAGTTTTCGTATGATATTTCATTTGTTGAGAAAAATTTATCCAAAAGATTAAATATCCCACCTCCTGATAGTAGTTGCAAAGTAATCTGCAAAGAAGCTACTGTTATAGAGTAAAGTAACAAATACCATTAAAACTACTAACTCAGCAATTCCAGTCAATTAATCCATTAGCAAGCCAAATTTTCGTACATCTGATGGGACTGATAAGTGTTTCTTTCACATCATTAGCCATATTGCTAAATTGTTGAACAAAGGTGTTATCTGACAACCATCAGTGGAATATGGTACAAATTAACTAGCCATATTATGAATGTATATTCTGAATTTATCAATGTTAATTTTGTAACTGCTTAATACAAATATTACAAATTACCTACATATTTTACATCAAATTAACATATAATTTTAGGGTAAGGGGGAAAAAGATCTTGTTATATTTCTACCAAAATCGTGCCTAGGTTTATCCATGATTGATCAAAATTTTTCTCTAAATAGCTCTTGAGTGATTTTTTTTTTAAACCATCACCTTGGGCTTGTTAATTTTTTATGAGAAATATGGCAACAAGCTTGCAGGCATTTGAAAAATGTGCTCATCTGTATAACACTAATATTCCAAATTTTGAGCTTTCAAACTTTATACCTTTGTTTATTATTCTTTGTCAGTAGAATTAAACTCTTAGTTTTGTGTCACAAATATATTGTTGTATAGATAAAGTATCAGTGATCGAGTTACATACTTGCTCAATCTCTGACTTAAATTGATGAGTCATGATTTAAAATACTGCTATGCAGATGTTTTATTTCTGTACTTACTCTGTTTTTTCTTTCCAAAGAAATTTCTTATGATTCTTTAAATGAACTTTGTTATTAACAGTCCCTTGAACCAAATTATTTTAGAATTACTGCTTTGAGAGTCGTAAACTAAATGAAGGAGCACAATAGATATGTAGATATAGCTAAGTCAATAGCTTTAGATCCATGTTTGTAAAAATTATGACTTAAAGAGACATCCGAATCCCCACTTTATCTTTGGAAATTATTTCAATTCTTTTTTGGATAAGTGAAATTACAACACTTTCCTGCACAATAATGAAACACTCATCATCATGATGAAAGATTTTAAATGCCTTTTTTCTGCTGCACTATATGAATTTTTGTTTCATTATTATTTAAGGCATGTGTTCATAAGCTAGACAAAAAGATAAAAAGTAACTTTTATCCCTCAAAAAAAACTTACTAATCTCTGTTCTATAAAAAAATAATATTTGAGAGTGAATGCCGTGTTAGTTTAAAACTGTAATATTCTACTAAGTTTTACAAAATTTTCTTTCATTTAAATAAACTGATTAGAAATAAAATTATGATCCAAAAATAATTCAAGTAAATTTTGAGTTTATTTTTTGTATAAATATATTAATGTGGGTGAAGTATATGTAGAAATATCTGAAATAGAGTTGGTAAAAATTTTTGATCTTTATACTCTTTTGTATCAAACTTTTGTTTTAAAATATGACATATAATCTAAGATGTTTAGTCAAGTCAGTTAAATTTTAATATTGTTTGTCATTTCTCTAAAGTTTAAGTCAAAATATTATGTTTGTAATGTGTATGACTATTATAACATACAGGGGTTGGACAAAAATATGGAAACACCTTTAAAAAAACATGTTTCTTTGCTTAATGTGGTGTAGGAAACCCGTTGGCATCCAAAACAGCTTGCAGTCTTCTCGGAATGGATAAATACAGTTCCTGTATGTTTGCCAAGGGAATATTATACCATTCTTCCTGCAAAACGGTGGCAAGTTCAGATAACGATGTTGGCGGTGGATACGAGAACGCACTTTCCGTTCCAATGTAGACCACAAAGGTTCGATAATATTCAGGTCTGGTGACTGTGGTGGCCAGGGGAGATGGGGCAACTCATCCTCGTGCTCAGAAAACCAGTCCTGGACAATGTGAGCTGTGTGAACAGGGGCTTTGTCGTCTTGGAAGACACCATCACCATCGGGGAACAAAGTTTGTACCATGGGATGAACTTGATCGGCCAAAATGTTCACATAAGTCTTGGCAGTCATGTGCCCTGACACAGTTATCATGGGGCTAGCAGAGAACCACGATATGGCTGCCCAAACCATAACAGAACCCCTGCCATGTTTCACTCTTGGCAGCAAGCAGTCTGTATTATAGGCTTGAGATGGCGTTCTCCAGACGTAAACTCGGCCAGAAGTGGGAAACAATGTGAAAGAAGACTCGTCAGACCATATTACCCGCTTTCACTGCTCTATAGTCCAGGCTTTATGACTTAAACACCACCTTTTCCTGTTACGGCATTAGCATCACTGATGAGTGGTTTCTCAATTGCAGCATGGCCAGCAATTCCCTGTTTATGAAGCTCCCTTCTAATTGTTTTGGTACAAACAGGGTTCGATAACACAACATTCATTTCAGCAGTAACTTTTGCAGCTGTGGTCTTCGTATTTTTCGTCACAATTGCCGTTAATGATCGTCTGTCATGATCACTCGGGACACACTTTCGTCCGCGCTGTGATTTAGCAGATGATGTTTTTCCGCTTTTCAAATATGCGGAGTAAATCTTCGATACAGGACCTCTTGAAACACTAAACACCTCGGCTACCTTGCTTACAGAAGCACCTACCATATGTGCTCCAACAATTTGCCCACGTTCGAAGTCTGTTAACTCCTACATAATGCAATGACAACCTCACATAACAGTACTCTGACAACAACTGAACTGTTTAGCACATTTTCGAAGTTGTATAGGTGGCGTCAGTAGTCAAAAATACCAGCGCCACCTACATATTTCATTAAAATCAATCTTTCTTTTCAAACATGCATTTCACAAGGTGTTTCCATATTTTTGTCCATCCACTGTATATCTACAATAGTAAGAATATAAATGAGATTGAATGGTGGTCAAATAATCAAAAATGTAGAATAAAATGAAACTATTAAGAATAGTTTTAAAATCTAAACAAACATAAACTGCACATCAAAATCGATAATGTAATTTTGTCATTATATGCTGCAAACAGAAAAATTACAAATAAGAGTTAAAATAGGAAATTAGCTCTTCTATGATACATAGAATACTTTAAAAAAACTGTATGATAGAATTATATTCTCAGAAATATTAGCTACTTTCAGAGGTTATTAGTTTGAAGTTTCTCTCTATCTGGAATTCTGTATAATGTGATTTAATTCAAAATATGCATTGAAATTTCATGCATGTATTTTTTTATACTGAACAATGACTAAAAAGTATATAAAGTTATTTAACTATCTACCTTAAATGATGTATATAATTTTATGCATTTTGATTTAAGTTGAAAAACCCTGCCAAAGAGTATAATGTTATAAAGCATACTGCTCTAGTCAATTTTGCAAAATGTATATAGGTTTTATGTATGGAAAGAAGTTTTGTATTCAAGATCTGGGGAAATTTCACCAAGAATAAATATACTTTTTTTTTTATCTAAAACTCATTTTTCAATGTATTATTGTGTTGTTTAGTTATGAATAATTGTCCATGCAGGCTAAGTTGATAGCAAAAAATAATGCAAATGAAATTTGACCAAAATATCATATAATGAAATTTGTTCTTAAAGTATTGCACTAATGGGAAAAAAAGTTTTTAATAATTTTATAATATTTAATAAGCAGGTTTTACATGTTTATCAACTTCAGTTCATCATACATAAATTCTTTGTATTTTCACATTGTTTTACAGATTTCATGATGGCTAAACAATATTTATACTTTTTAAGATTCCATTATTTGTAGAATTATGATTTGTCAAGGAAATGCTAAAAATTCGGTAATGTGCTTTGAATATGCAAGTCAATATTAATGTATTGCATACAAAGTTAAAAATATAGTAATGAGTTTCTTTAGCGAGATAAGTTAAATAATAATGTTATATAGTCTGTTTTATGTGTAAAGAGGGTACTTACTAACTATGTACATAAGATTTTTGTGATTATCATACACACGGATATCATATGCATATATCCATGTGTATCATAAAATGAGATATCTCCCCCCCCCCAAAAAAAAAATTCTCCATAGAGGCATTCTTCTTCCCAAGCAGATAGCTCAGCCTACTTTGCTATAATTAACTATTAAAAAATGTTAGCTAAAAATTTAATTTGTGTGTCTGTTCTAGTATCCTGAATTGCAAAAAAATTACTGCTGAGTGCTTAACCTCCAAAGTTGTAAAGTGAAGGTAACTATTATTTTGCTATTTTTTTTTGGTGTAATTATCAATAATTGTGAAAAGGACCTTAATTATTTAATTATCAAATGAAAATGATGGTTTGAATTTATATGAATATAAAATATTTTGATGAAAAGTTATAAAATTTCACTTCATATTCATTTGGTTAATAACTTATGAGGGGAAAAAAACCTAATTTCATAATTAATTATTTTCTAAGAATCCTATTGAAATTACTGAATTATTTCTTGGAAACTGAGCAGAGATAAAATTTCAAAGCTAGCAATTTTCCTGCTTATCTACTGATGGATGTAAAATTCATCTTTTGCACTGCATTGCCACAGATGTAATGCACAAATCTATTGGCATTAACTTGCACAAAATCAGCTATCTTTTGCTACAATTAAATTTCAGAATGAAATTATTATTGACCAGTGGTTTGTAACCTTGTGAGAATTTTTGGTTACAGCCAAAAACATCATGGAGGAAACGATGCAAGGCGAAAACGTTGTGCTACAAAACATCGTGGGAGAAAAGAAAAGAGAAAACATTGTGTTACAAAATATTGTCGAAACTAAAGTGGTTAAAAAACTTCACAGTTTAAAAATATCATGGTAAAAAATAAATTTAAACAAATTTAAATTCAGTACCTACAAATTATAGCATGACATCATCATCGCACACATGCATTTTTTAAATCCTATATTGGTATATTATGTAACTGACTTTCATCATAACTAACAAATCAACATCCAAAAATTTATTGCACGCTATACATGAACTGGTAACGACACTTTAAGAAAAAACCAAAACAAAACAAAATATAATTATCACTAAAACCATATCAAATTTACAAATGTGAATGAAAATAATTTGATGAATAAGCGAGCAATTTTTATAGAGGTAACTTCAGGCAGTTATTTATCTGCCTTTCTCTAAGCATTTTTAGACTGTATTTTGCATTAAAAAATTGTCGTAAAACTTTAGAAAAGATGTATTAACCGCTTGCCTGATTATGTCGGGTTCGTATATATTGCTTTTAATTATTATCCTGAGAAAACTTGGGCGAAGCAGAATTTGTTAGTACAATTTGTTTTATCACGGTTTTACTCGGCCTGGAGGAAATTAAAGGAAATATTCAGCTTTGATTAGCAGTTTGCCAAGTATTGTTGGTTGCATGTTTTTTTTTGACAGGACTGGTTATGTGTTTCTCTGTTGTAAAGTATACATCGGCTTGGGGATTAGTAATGTATAAAGAATGATACTTGCGTTGAAAAAAGTAAAATAATGGCAAGGATACAAGATAGCGAAAGCGATGATTTTTCAGATAGTGATTATAAGAAAAGGTGGGAAAAACTTTGTTTTTAAAAATCAAATTCAATGAGACAGTGTACTGTGTGCTCCCGTAAAAGAGATTCCAGCGGTAAGCCAGTAAAAAGAGACCAGATACCAGTGTACAGAATTTCAAGTATCACTTTATGTTCTCCCTTGTTTAAAAAAACTCTCATACAAAGACTAATATTGAACTTTTTTTCATTTGCCTAAGATAACTCGAGATAGTAAACTAATATTAAAACTAAATGCTTTTTACACATTCAAAAAAATTAAAAATTCAACTTAAAATTTTGATTTGTTTCATTTTGTTGTATGTAATAATAAAATTAAAAAAGTGATGATTTTTTGCATTTTTTTTTTTAAAAATTTGTAAGCGAAGCAGTTAATAACCTTTGTTAATTAACTACGGATATTTAAAATTCTATGAATTTCTATAAGTTTCATCAATTTTCTACTCATTTTCAATTCTAATTTTTTTAGCAAAAATTTATTAGTTCATTCCAAAGTATGAAATATAGAAGTAAAAGAATCGCTCTTTCCTTCTTGCATTCCCAAATCATTATGCGAACATGCATTTACAACTTTAAAATCCTGAAAACGCATGTGTGCTATGTTATTGTCATGCGATGATTTGTAGGTTCTTTAATTTTTAGGATGATATTTTCGACGATGTTTTTAAACTGCAAAGTTTTTGCAAAGTCTATTTTCGAGCATAATATTTTGTACCACGATGTTTTGTATCATGACATTTTCTTCTTGAGTTGTTTTCTCCGTGATATAATAAATTTTAAAATAAAGAATTAATAGTTGCAAGTTCTGAAGTTCTCTACTAAATAAGGGTGAAACTTGAAAAGGTTTAAAAAATTTAAGTTTTTTCCAAAAATATTAATACAGTCAAAAGTCGTTAATCCGGACTCGTCGGGACTTCGGCGATTCCGGATTATAGATCATCAGTTTAAATCTCAAAAGATGGCATGCAGAAATTACAAAATTAAAAATGTGAAACCGTAATTTATGAAATAAAGAACAAATATGATCTAAAGGGTATCAAAATTTACAAAAAGAAAAAGCTTAATATTTATTTGTTTACTTTATTAAACATTTCTTTCAATGTAAGTTGCTTCGTTTCATGTGATAATACTTTCTCTTTAATTCTATTAAACAGACATAATTTCTTGTTTAGTTACAAAGTTCCGCTGTTCAAGTCCTATAATTGCTGTGTCGAGAATACCGACTAATTTGTCAATCGAAATGTTTTTGTTTTCAATAACCTCTGGGTCATTTTCTTCACTATCGGAAGCGAATTATAATGACGAGGAATTTGATTTAAATCATATCAAAGACGAGATGAAATACTACACTTAGTAATGAATTATAAGCCAAATAAAAACATCTGCCCTGAAGATAAGGATAGTGCTGACAGATCAACTTCCAATCTGCGGTGTGAAATTGATAAAAATTTCGGATTTCAAAACATACTTTCGCTTCTTTGTAGATACAAATTACATATTAGTAAATATATATCGGAAATTCTATTTGACATAATAGAAAGTTCAAGCTTACTTTTATGAAATTGCTCCAACAGTCTGCAAAAAATAATAAGCCGGATCCAATTCGAAGATTAAGGAACAATGCTATCTGCAACATTAACTGAATTAGATAATTTTAGCTTTTAATTTACCGTCCGTTACACATTAAACACGCATGCGCACAAACATATTAGCAGCCGTAAAGGTCTTACGCGCACTCGTAAATGCCTGTGCGCATGCGTGAACGCAACGCATGCTCAGAAAGTTTGTAGCTTTGAGGTCCGGATTATGGGTGTCCGAATTAACGACTTTTGACTGTATGTATTTAATGCTTTCATTCATTTTGTTCAAAACTTATAGAAATTACTACATGCAGACATATGAAAGGGAAGGAAATTCTTAACTAAATTTCTTAAACTAACTAATAAGGTTAAAATGTACATTTCTGTACATTTTAAACGTATTTCTCCCCCTCCCTGGCAAAGATTGGTGTGATGCAATTCATGTAATATGTTAAACTGATAATATATCATTTTGTGCTTTATAGAGGTACTAATAAGAATGATGGTTACTACAGCTAAAAATAAATTAAATGTACTATTATTATTTGCATAGAAATTATACACATAGGGTATAAATAAATTCTTTGCTTTTTTTAAAAAAAGCACTGGAGATTAAAGTAAAATATCAAATTTAAGAGACTAGTAGTTTTATAAATATCTTGGGGTGATTGGGTTGCAGAATTCTAGATTTTGTTTCTGTGATTAATTGTTCTGCTTTGGAGATGGCAAACATTATTAGGAATTCTGTAAAGGTCATTAAAGAGGAGTTTAAATGTTTGTTGAAAGAGAGGCATATTGGGAATGTGTAGATTAACTCGTGGAGTTATGACAAGATGGTGGTTACTACAGCTAAAAATGAATTAAATGCGAAATTATACACATAGGGTATAATAAATTCTTTGCTTTAAAAAAAGAAAAAACTCATGTTATCTTTAAACCCATGTTCGTCTCATCTGTCTTCAGTGTTTAACAAATACACTGGTGTGCAAAAGTTAAGCAACAATGTAAATTTTTATCAGATAGCCATTAAATTGCAAAAAGGGTTCTTGCAATCAGTACAATGAGCACACAATTCAGCAGAAAGGCCAAATGTCAGAAACAAAATGTCACAGGAGATGTAAATGTATGCAAAACGCATGTGGTAGGCGCACTCAACTCAAGACTACAATAAAATGATGGAGATGCAATTAAAGACATTCGCTGCAAGTACAGCGAGTTCTTTCCTGAAATATGGCTAGAAGAAATCACTTGGATGACTTCACACGTAGAAGAATTATCAGAAAGCTGGAGGAGGGGTGCAGCGTAACTAGAGTGTAGCTGTATCGTTTCTCGCACTTGAAAAGCCTTTCAAACCATTGGTACAGCTGTTAGAAATGGTGGTGGCCACTCCAGGAAAGCAACTGCAGTGGATGACCGATATATCCTCCAGCAGGCGAAAAGAGCCCGAAACCAGTCGCAAGCGCCATAGCTCAGCAACTGTGTCCAGACGTTTGACAAAGGTGGCCTTATTCGCCCGTCGTCCTAAAAGCTGGCCATCGGCGCCAAGGTGCCAGGAGCACAAAAAAACTAGACAATCAGTAGAGTCATGTCCTTTTTATGGATGAGAGTGCCACAAGTGATTCTCAACACCAGTTGATTTGGATAAAGGTCGGGACACTGTTTCATTACGGAAAAAGACCGTTACGGTGGTCTTGGAGTTCTCGTCTGGGGAGGTAATATGCTGAACGGGTGGACAGAGCTCAATGTTTTCGACAGAGGTTCTGTAACCGGAGATCGCTATTGTTAGGAAATGGTTCTTTCCCATGTGCGTCTGTTTCGAGGTGCCTTTGGAACTTTTATGGATGTCAATGCATGGCCGCACCAGATTTCTGCTCTTCAGAAGCTACTGGAAAGTGAAGATATTGCTCGAATGGACTGGCCAGCGTACTCCCCTGATTTAAACTCCATACAACATGTGTGGGATATTTCGGGAAGACGCCTTGCGGCACAATTACATCCTCCGGGGAACACCCAACAGCTGAAACAGATGGGAAAAACTCTCTTACCTCAAGTTCTGTTGGACAATCTGGTGCTGAGTATGGAGAGATGGTGCGAAGCAACCATTGCAGTAACGGCATATATTCCATACTGAGGAACATCTGCTTGTTGTTCTTACTCTTGTACAGACAATCATGTGTAACGATACATATAAGTTCAATAACGCTTTTTTTTTTTTGTTTGATTCTATACTTTATGCATTATATTCATTTTTGCACAACTTTTCGTCATTGTTTAAGTACAAAATGCTGTCTCATTTCTGAATTTCATATCATTCAGATGATTTCTCGTGGAGTTAATGGCAAAAATATTACTGTTAAGTTTTGCACAGCAGTGTAATTTTCAATTTTTTGTCAAGGGACACAGGGAAGAAAAATGTACAATTTATGTATACATTTCTGGTTGAATATTAAAAGAAACAGAAAAAATATAACTACTGAAAAATCCTATTACATTTCATGAAAGTTCCATTTTATTCAAAATACTGTACACAATTTACAAATAGATACTTATCCCTGAACATTCTTTCATTAGTGTTATTTACAATATCTTTCATATACACCAGTTCACTAACTTGAACAAAAAAGCACATTTGCACAAAATAGGTTCTTTTAAAATGGAATTTTACTTTCAAAAACTGACTGATTTATAATAACATTTGTTTTTCATTTACTTTTAAAATTATTTCATTTGGTATTAAGATTTTCTGAGGAAATAAAAAAAACGGAATAATCTAGAAAGTAACATGTTTGCAGAATTAACATTTTTCAGAAAAAAATTTACCTTTATACATCTGTTATGAACATAAAATTACATATAGTAACTACAAATATTCTTGCAGCCACTTAAACATGTAAATTTGTATAAATTCTCCTTTTAATGATTTTCTTGATCATTAAAAATATACAACTTAAGCAAAAACATTTAATTTTAATTTGCTTGAGATTTTAAAAATATTATCATGTTTCTTTCTAATAATTAAAACAAGCATGCACAATATTTACATGTTTCAAAAAATGTGTGCAATGAAACTACTGTAAACTAATTCTAAAATGTAGCAGTTACAAAAATAATCTTTTCTGTAAAAATAGTACATTCAAGCATTCTTAAAGTTATGAAAAAATTATCTCCAAATAAAAATATTTGATGTATAAAATATAAGTCCATAATTTCAGTGTTTTCACTGTTCTAATAAATTACATGAGGCTTTTAGAATTATGTTTGAAGGAATACAATACAAATTCTGCATACTACTTCCAAGTCTATCATTTTTTTTCACATAGCTGATTAAAATTAACTAAAGAGAAATTTTACTACAAGGGGGAAATCATTTGAATTACAGATTAACTTAAATTATAATGCAAATATTTTTCCTAGTCCTAAAATTAAACAGCTGGAATTTAACACCTTTTACTCTATTTCACTTTTAGCAACTTTAAACTTCAGAAAACTAGGAAGTGAGAAGCACTTATCTATATTGTAAGTCAATGCTACATTTTTATAATGTGAATGTTAAATTTCCACTTTTAACTTGATATTCTAGGTATGAGTTAAATACAGTAATTTTTCTGTACTTTTAATATATACATCTTTATGTGTTCTCAACCACACAACATACAAGAATAATTTAACTTCTGTAGAAAAACTATTTTTTCATGGTTAAATAGTTTCCATCATCTCATATAAAAAATAAATTTATGTATGTGACTCCTTATATTTAGTACTATTATTATATTCAACTTGCATCCCAGCAATATGAAAAAACATACATTACATATATATAATTTTACTACGTAGAATATGCGTCAGTTGGCACTTTCTTTAGCTAAAATAAACCTTGTATCCAATGTACAATTTACAGTTCAGTTAACTTGGAGGTTTAAGGAACTAAGAGTCTGACAAGCTCAATTATAAAATCTATACAATATTAAAACAACAGCATAGATGAATTTTCTATGGCACATTGAAATCCTGAACAATACTATGTAACTTTCGATCACACTTATAAAAAAGTCATTTTTACATTGTCTTTTGTTTACTTTCACAGCATTTGAAGGTAGTGAACTGAAATGTCCAGTACTGAAGTAAAATGAAATGATAATATGTGATTATTTAAAAATTATCAGACTGTAGCTGTGCCCTCAAATTACCGTTCCTTTTGATGGTCGCTTCACGGAGTGGAATTTTTTGAGGTGATACTTTGCTCGAAAAGTTGTTTTTCCACTCACTTTCATCAACATATGTATTAGGTTTGACTGGAATTAATTGTGTGGCTACAGGCGAATGCCTCTGGATATTATTCTTTTTCATGTAGTAATATGTTGCGAGTGCTGCAACAGTTGCACCTATGATAATACCAGCAATAATTGCTCCAACAACATGCACTGCACGAATACCATCTTCAACAGAATGAGTACTTTCTGAAGCTACACCTGCAAAGAAAAATAAACCGATCTTTAATTTCTTGCATGAATATACAACTTTAGATGGTTATGAGTTATATAATCCCATGGAACAAAAATTTCTGTTCAGAAACAAAGCAGTTATTTTTCAAATTACAAAATGTAACTTTTATCACAAATATCCGATTTTTATTAAAAGTATATGAAAGGAAAGTCATTTTTAAGTATTCCCTTTTTTCATGCTATTATAATGGTTTATGCTAACACTGCATTTTTGTAACAGTCATTAATTTATAAAAATTCATTGTGCATGTGATAATATCTGTGTAATTTGGTGCAGTAAAACAACTAAAATTAGCAGATTTCAAAAATTTATTCAACATAGCCCGAGATTTTTTCAACTTAACATTGAATTGTATTTTATCAATTATAAACTTCCAAGCAAATATTTGTTTTCTATTAAAAGTAGCAGAAAAACAATATCAGCAGGAAATGAGTTAATACACTACATATTATTTAAATGATTATTTAAAATAATCATTACTTTATATCATCAGATCTTCAGATGCAATTTAATTTGCTAAATAAAATTCATTCTTTTATCAAACAACACAAATATAAAGAATAGCAGTCCAGATAAATGAATTTAATTTGCTAAGTTGGTGGTGGACTCCTCGTAAAAGGTACCTTCAGTGTTGCTACTTCTCTAACTTGAATTTTCTTGGAGGGGGAGACGAGAATCAAATTTTATTGAAAATGCATTTCTCTGTTTGCAAAATGAATTTTCTTAAATATACCGGAAATCTTGAAAGGTTTGTTTATATTGCAATTTTTAGCACAAAACAATGCTTGAAATGAAGTGCATGCAGTTATGTTAGGCCAGAAAAAAATAATAAAATCAGAGTGTAATTTCTGATAAAAGCTGGTAGCTAGAAAAAATAACAGTATTTATACTGTTACATTTGAAATTAAAAAACACAATCTTGGAAACTCAAGTAGCAGTCTAAATTTCTTTCAGCAATCACAAAGTTTAAATGAAATCTACAGTAGTAAGAAGTAGATGCAAAATATATTTACACATGCTTTACTTTTTAAAAAGTTGGCAACTCTTATCACAACTCTCTACTATACAAACTTTAGATGTTATATGATCCAATGTCCAGACCATTATTATTTTTTTAATGAAATCTAGGAATGGAGAATATAATACTTCATAAAAAAGATGTGATTTTTCTTTGAACTGAAATTTCTGCATGTCACTTTCAAACACCAGTTGGTAGGGAATTGCATTGACAAAACATTGACCGATGCTGGTCGTGATCATACTTTTGGCCTTTGAATAGTTGTGGAAGACTTCAGCATTTTCCTCTCTCACTTAAACAATAAATGAAGACAACTTTGTTTGGCATGGGATGCTGCTTATATTGGTTTTCTTTTGCTGACATAGCAGCATGGAAGAGAGAAAGATTCCAAAGAACTTAGTTCAGTTAATATAGCAAATTGTGCTCTTCCTTAATTTTTTAATTTGATCCAGCATATTATTTTCTGTAAGCTATTATTATTACAGCTATCTTGTCATTATTAAATTTTGAACTATGTTGAAAACAGTTTCTAATTTTATAACTGCAGTATATAACTAATACAGTCAAAAGTCTTTAATCCGGACTCGTCGGGACATCGGCGATTCCGGATTATCGATTTTTCCTGATTATAGGTCATCAGTTTAAATCTGGTAAGATGGCATGCAGAAATTATAAAATTAAAAATATGAAACCGTAACTTATGAAATAAAGAGCAATTATGATCTAAAGGGTATCAAATTTTACAAAAAAAAAAAAAAAAAAGCTTAATATTTATTTGTTTACTTTATTAAATATTTCTTTCAACGCGCGCATGCGTAAAGCATATATTACGCATAGTCGAAATTAGAAAATTGCAACCAGAAAACTATTTGATGTGTATTCCTGATATTTATAATGACGAGGAATTTGATTTAAATCATATCAAAGACGGAGTACATCGAGATGAAATATTACATTTAGTAAGGAATTATAAGCCAAATAAAATAAAAACATCTGCCCTGAAGATAAGGATAGTGCTGACAGATCAACTTCCAATTCATTGCGTGCCGCGATGCCCCCCACCTCTCTGTCACTTTCTTCATGCCTTTATCCATTTTTTGCAGCAATTCCACTTTTTGTTTAATGGACATCGAAACGTGCTTTCACTTTGTAGATCCTTTACATATTACTAAATATATATCAGAAATTCTATTCAGAAAGTTCAAGCTTACTTTTATAAAATTGCTCTAAAAATCTGCAAAAAATAATAACCCTGATAAAAATGCAATCTGCAACATTAACTGACATAATTAGATAATTTTAGCTTACTTACACCGTCCGTTATACATTAAACGCGCATGCGTAAAGGTATTTACACGCATTCCATTGCCGCATGCACAGAAAGTTTGTAGATTAACGACTTTTGACTATATCTAAAATGTCAAAGCAAGTACCTATGTCAGTTACACAAAAAAGTGAAATTGTTGGGGGAAAAAATGATAAAAGCATATCCATCTCAAAGTTATGCAGAGAATATGACATTAGAGGTCATCAACATGTGACATAAGAAAGATTTTTAAAAAAATAATTTTTTGTAGTTAAGTGTTAAAATGGTAATCGTGATAAAGTGATGATTAACGTTGCAGCAAGGATGCATCATAGGTGGGTTTCGTGTTAATAGTTCAAGTCAGAATATTTCACGAGGAAATGGAATTAAAATATCTAACATATTTGACCAAATATGGTTAACCAAATTTATATAAGTTGGTTAACCAAATTTAAAAATCGCTGTGATAAAAGTTAAAAATTTCAGATGAAAAAGCGCAGCTGATACAGAAGCATCTGATCTATTTGCAAATGAAAACTCAATACTAATGTGAAGTTACCTTCAGAACAGTTTTACAATGCTGACAAAACTAGTCTTTTTTGGCAATATGTGTTCCCAAACACCTTGGTGACACTGTGCAGGAAATGCCGCAACTGATGTCAAAGCTTCCAAAGTGAGATTAATGACTTTGACATATGCAAATACCACAAATGTATGTTCAGCTTTGATCATTTAATGGAGTAAAGATTTCTAATTCAAATAAAACGGCACAGATGACCCAAACATTAATGGATGATTTATTTGGAAATCATTCTATACCCACTCCACAACATTTGAAATCAGCCAGTAGCAGATTATTCAAGCCAAAATATTCTGAAGGATGCTGAAATTGTCCTGATTATTCAAGCCAAAATATTCTGAAGGATGCTGAATGTGCATGTGTGCTGAAATGCAAGTATGAAGTACTCTTTTTAAAAGTTTATGCTAAATTTTCTAAACATTGGAAAGACTATTAACAATTTTTTGAAATATTTTAGCATACAATTTGCTGTGTGGAGCATTGCAAGTTCATGAGAGGATGCATTTGCAGGTAGTTTAAAAATACTTCGTATAATAATTGCCAACTGCCATATTTCATCGATGATGGTGCTGAAGATAGGTGCGATTTTCAATTGAAGATTTTTAGATATCAAAAGTAAAATTTTCCAATTGATAGAATTTGAAGAAATATGAGGAAGTGATATTAAATGAAAATGATACTACAGAAGTTTTCGATTGGAATGATAATGTTCCAACTATTTAATCAACTGACAGGCAGCAAAATCTGCAGTATGGTTTTGAATCCAAAAATATTAGTACCATTAGTGAAGTTTAGTGGGAATTCGCAATGTAGCAGTTACAGGATTTGAACAATGGAGCTTTAATAACTGAATAAGAAATTATGTCTATCTAAGATGTATTTAATAAAACAAATATTAAGCCTTTTTTTTTTTTTTTAAATTGTGATTCAACTTCAGAAAATAAATGCTTCATTATTTCATAAACAACTTTCATATTTTAATACCACAATTTCTAAATGTCATCTTATTAAATTACTATATCTTATAGATACTGTTAGACCAGTAGCTTTCAACCTTCCATTCCTAGATCATTCACCCCTATCTTTTCCAAAACTCCATCTGTGGTTATTTTGATTTAGATTGTTTTTAACAGGTTTTTATAAATTAAATAACAGAAAATTATAGAAAATGTTGATAAATACCAAAACTTGAATAAAAGTAGTTTTCATATTGATAATCTAAAATTAAATGCTTAACAGTTAAATAAAAGGCTGATTGCATTCCCTCCTGAAAGTACGAAATTTGGGAATTCCCCCGGTTGAGAACCCCTGTACTAGACTAATGATCTAAAATCCAGAATCACTGAAGTTCAAATGATTCTGCATCTCTGTATGTAACTATTATTAATTACTCTAATACAGTACACATTTCCTAAGAAAAGGCCAACAAAAACATGCTTATATAACTAAAATAATTAAAATACAACTATATCTTCATATCTGCTTCAATATTTAACTATTTTTTATGATAAAAGATTTGAGATTTCCATTTTTATTCAGGATAAATGTTCAAATATGTATCTCAACAGAGTTAATTTTCATACATTTAAATAAATAAAACATAATTATTAAATCTTACTTAGCTGACTAGGTATACACATCCTAATCTCTTTTGTTGATCCAACACAATAATTGTTAGGTGTGTGTGAAAATTTGCATTTGCGTCTTCTTTGTTGTTCATGATTTTCATCACAAAGGGACCATACTGACCACTCTTCCCACCCTTGGACATCTAAAACAGTTTTTTTAAATTTGAAGTAGAAATTAAGTATTAAGAAAAGTACAAATTACATGATTCTAAACAGTTACAAATAACTTCTTTTAAATATGATTATATGTATTTTGTAACAATTATAACTTCCTCTTAATAAATTTCTATTTTAGTTTAGTAGCTGTAGTGCTTCAGTCAAAGAAATGGTTATAATGAACTTACAAACACAGATAATTTAGCTTATAGAGTAGAATTTATAGTATTAATTTCATGTGAATTTACTGCAAAATTATTCAAATGCATTGCTTGCATAATACTTTTTTCTGAACTTGCATTTTTAAATTTTAAGCACATGCATACATTTATACATGTCAAGGGTAAATATTTACTCCAAGCTATGTATCATAAAAACTACCCAATGAACAACTCAATATTTAAATAGTCACTTGAATTTTTTATGAATGTGTACACCTGTATGAATCTTATTATTGCATTTTTTCCCCCTGTGGCTTCTTTTGCAATTATTTTATTGTCTAAAAATTTATATACATGACCATCCCCACATTTTTCAATTAACTCCTCTGGATGACGTGATTAAGTTTAAATGGTGTTTAACTACTGCTGAAGAAGGTAAGGAATCATTCTTGCACTTACTTATATAAGTAATGCAAAGGATGCTAATCTAAGCGAATTTGATAAAGGGCAGATTGTAATGGCTCGAAGACTCAGAATGAGTATCTCCGAAACTGCATGACTGGGAGGTTGTTCAGAATCTGACATTGTTAGTATTTATGCAGAGTAGATAAATGATGGTGGAATCAGCAGGAAACAGCAAGGTTTGGATGCCCACACATTATCAAAGAAAAGGGACATCGGAAACTGACAGTTGTTCAGGGACAGCCCAATACAGTCCAATTGCAAATGTTTTGGAACACACAGTTCAGCAGACACTGTTGGATATGAGACTGTGCAGCAGATGTCCCACTCATGTACTTCTGTTGACCAAACCTCACTGTAAACTATGCATACAGTGGGCCTCAGGAACATCAAGACATGGATAAGTGGAAGACCATTGCCTAGCCTGATGAATCACAATTTCTCATTCATTACATTGATAATCGTGTAAGGATATTCCATCTTCTTTATGAACAGTTGCTCCTCCCTGTACAGCAGGTCATACAGAGCTGCTGGTGACAGTATTATACTTTGGGAGATGTTTTCATGAGCGGCTCTGGGACCCTAAAAACCTTCTTCAGAATCAATAAGGCCTCCAGTGCTGCCGGTATGACAGATTCTACTGTATGTGCAAGTCAGTGTGAATGGAAAATCATTTAAAAAGTGCTTATCTGCACTGATCTGTTCTTGAAGACTACTCATTAAAATTCATTAAGCCCTTTTTAATGTTTTTTTTTTTTTTTTTCCTCTTCCATTTTAAGTTACAGAACGAACACTATGTAATTTTTGTTTTCAGAGAGTTCTTACCTTCACAATTTTCAATGTTGCATGGTCTTTCTAACCGTGCAGGACCAATGCACCGTGAACCATCTGTGGGATTGGGGTCATCGCATGTTCTTTCCCGATATTGGACTCCACCACCACAAGTAGCACTACATTCAGACCAGGTTGACCAAACTGACCAGTCACCCTCAATATTCAAGAAAGCTTTTGTGATAAGAGTAAAAATTATAAAACGTAATATTTAATTTGAAATATGTAATGAAAATGTTCAGTTTTACAAAATATTTAAACATTTTGAATTTAAATACTTTCAGATTTAAAATACATCTAAAATCTTTTATGAAACTTTTACAGATGTATTTATTGAAATTATTCAGTATTTATGAAATAATTTTCACCAACACGTAAACTGCAAAATGTCAATTCCTGTGTAATAAGCTCTATCAATAACTGGACTAACCTGAATCTAAACATGCTTTGCTGCCTTCGAGACAAAATCTTTCTTCCTTCTTCACATGAGCAATTCTGAGCATCGACTCATCAGGAACATTAGCACGGCATGAAAATCTGAAACGTTGTTCAAAAAAGCCATCTTTTGTTTTATTGGCTCGGAGATACGGTGTCCAAGGAGTGGATTTCCTCACCTCTGGGCATGCATGTAAATTACAAAATTTAAAGTCTTGGTTACAACCCAAACATTCTCGGCCTCCATGTTGAGGAGGCGGGCTGTTACAACGTCGCCGTCGAATCTGTATTCCACCAGCACAAGGTGCACTGCATTCCTCCCATGTGCTCCATTCTGACCAATGTCCATCAATTGGTGAAACAGTTGCCACTTTATAAGAAACAAATGATTTACTTAATTGTTAAAATATCAATTAATGAAAAAATCTAACAACATTTTAACTAATTATAGATCACATTTTATTTTAGTTGCAATTTAAATGCTTATACAAAGGCTTTAAGATCTGCATACATTATGTAATAAATTAAATCAAACTTCTGGATTCAAGGCTAATGAAAGTGCAGCAAAATGTATTGCTGAAGTTTATTCTGAAGTTCACCATATCTGATCTCTGTAAGATGCATAAAATATTTCAACAATAAATATTCAAAGATGTATGGATTATTAATATGAAAAATAAACTTATTTAAGTTAAGTGGCTCTTTTAAAATTTAAACAGTTTACACGAATAAATATTTTGTCTGTTATTGTATATAGTACTCATAAATTTGATTTATGCATCTCTCATAGTAATTATCAATTCATTGTTTGATAGAACTCAGCATACTTGTAGTATTGAATTAATTTGCATATTTGTCATTGATGGATTATTTTGTCACCCTGAACAAACATATACAGTCAAAAGTCGTCAATCTGGACTCGTCGGGACTTCGGCGATTCCGGATTATCGATTTTTCCGGATTATAGATCATCAGTTTAAATCTGGTAAGATGGCATGCAGAAATTACAAAATTAAAAATATGAAACCGTAATTCATGAAATAAAGAACAATTATGATCTAAAGGGTATCAAAATTTACAAAAAAAAACCTTAATATTTATTTTACATTATTGAACATTTCTTTCAATGTAAGTTGCTTCGTTTCTTGTGATAATACTTTCTCTTTAATTCTATTAAACAGACATAATTTTTTGTTCAGTTACAAAGTTCCGCTGTTCAAGTCCTATAATTGCTGTGTTGAGAATACCGACTAATTTGTCAATCGAAATGTTTTCGTTTTCAATAACCTCTGGGTCACTTTCTTCACTATGGGAAGCGAATTATAATGACGAGGAACTTGATTTAAATCATATCAAAGACGGAGTGCATCGAGATGAAATACTACACTTAGTAAGGAATTATAAGCCAAATAAAATAAAAACATCTGCCCTGAAGATAAGGATAGTGCTGACAAATCAACTTCCAATCCGCAGCGTGAAATTGATAAACAGATTTCGGATTTCAAAACATACTTTCGCTTTGTAGTAAATATATATCGGAAATTCTATTTGACAAAATCGAAAGTTCAAGCTTACTTTTATAAAATTGCTCTAACAGTCTGCAAAAAATAATAAGCCGGATCCAATTCGAAGATTAAGGAACAACGCAATCTGCAACATTAACTGAATTAGATAACTTTAGCTTAGCGTATAACTCCGTTACACATTAAATGCGCATGCGCACAAACATATTTGTAGCTGTAAGGGTCTTATGCACTCTCGTAAACGCCTGTGCGCATGCGTGAACGCGACGCATGCGCAGAAAGTTTGTAGCTTTGAGGTCTGGATTATAGATCATTCCGGATTATGGGTGTCCGAATTAACGACTTTTGACTGTATTGATTTAGAAACTGATCCACCAAATAGATAAGTATGCAACATACATAAAAAAAAGTAACAATAATATTATTTATTAGAAAGCAGAACAGAATTTATTTCAGATGATAGATTTAAAAGTTTCAGTAGCAAACACATTGACACAATAATTAAGGTCAAATATTTTATGCATCAAAATATTTTTACAAATATGCAGCATTCACTTGAGTTAAATGTGCAAATCATAAAATTTTGCATGCAGAAGAAACAATGTCTGATAAAAAATACTTGGAAAAAAAAAATTTTCATTAAAAAGTTGTCCATATCAAAATGAGTTAACTAATAAGTCATATAACTTTTTTAATGCTTACCAGGACAAGGAGGATTGTAAGTACAGTAGATCTCTTCACGTTCATGACCAATACATATTTTCCCTCCATAAGCTGGCGCCGGATTTCCACAAGTCCGTCTACGAGTTTTTATGGCTAAACCACAAGACTGAGAACATGATGACCATGAAGACCATTCGGTCCACTGCCCATTTCCTTTTAAGCAAATGTAAATAAATGTAGTTTCATTGTTCAAAATATATTATGATAATAAAATATTGTTAACATGAATAAAATTACAACAATTAAAATTATCATCAAAAAATTATATTCACTATTATTTGAAACATAAATATCAACATATTCCACACCCTTTGAATTAAGGAACAAAAAAGTATTGGCATTAAACATAGATATATATACATGGATAATATAAAGATAAATAATAATTCAAAGAGTGCTTTAAAATGTAGATTATTGTCTTGGAAATAGTTCATATAAGAATGTTTTTTTTAATGTAAAATTCTTGTTTTTGAAAGCATGACTTATTGCATGAACCATTAGATTATTCACCATGGGAAAGCACTCAAGGGATATATAACCCTTGAGTGCTTTAGTTTAGTGCCTGCTTTAGTGTCATGCTAAGAAAAAGAACTTAATTTGAAAGGTAAGTTAATAATGCACTAATTTGTTTTCATTATTTTCTGTAATATAAACCTTGTGCTAGCTCTCTAACTTCTAAGTTCCTGTTTTATATTTGTACGTGCATTTTACACTGCATATATATATATAGAGTGAATCTGAACATGGTGACAAAACTTTATGGGGTCAAATAATGCATCTATACAAGCAATATTTGTCATACAAGATGTGTTCGAAAAGTTCGGTAATTAGTCTCATAATTAATAAACTGCGCCGGTTAGGATTTTGCACTCACGTAGATGCAGTGAGAGAAATGTCATCTAGAGCCATCTAACGGCCATTTTACGACAGATAAGAGGAAGCGCACACTATGAGCAGTTTAACACAGTCAGTGTGAGAAAGATTGTCAGTGTGACATGGAGCAACACATAAAGTTTGGCTTCAAGTTAGGCAAAACGGCGACGGAGACACGTGACATGTTAGTGAAAGTTTACGGTCAAGAAGCAGCGAGTAAAAAGTGTGTTTATGAGTGCTTTAAATGCTTTACAGACGGAAACCAGGTTCCAGTTTTGGATCACCGTCCATATTCTTCAGATCTGGCTCCTGTGGACTTCTTCCTGTTTCCCCGCCTCAAAAGATTTCTGAAAGGCCAACACTTTTCCGACATTACCGAGATCCACCAACGTGTGACAACGGTGCTTCGAGCCATACCGAAAGAAGCGTTTGCAGACAGTTTCCAACAATTTGTACACCCGGATGTCAAAAGTGTATTGTTGCTAATGGCGAGTACTTTGAAGGCCAGTAAAGCTATTTTGCTTGTTTCTCGTTTCCTTTTTTTTATGGTAAAATTCACCGAACTTTTCGAACACACCTTGTATAAAGTCTGGGTGGAATGCAAACGGCAAACTGCTAGGTGGCATCGTAAATGGTATAAAAATTGTTTGTCCTCGTACCCAATGGCATTTTCTACTGTAGACTGCCGAGACGATGGCTGGTTATATGAACTGCGAAATTTTCAGGCCAATGGATTAGTTGATGTGGTCCCATAGCTTGGCCACCAAGATCACTGGATCTCTCCTGTTCGGACTTTTTCCTGTGGGGCCATATGAAAAGTCTAATCTACCAAATGCCCCATTAAAATGAATATGGATCTAGTCATCAGGTTATGCCTGGTGTCTTCGCAAATATGTGCCAGTCCCTATCGTGCATGTGTGAAGCCAACATTACAGCTGGAGTAAAGTCTTTTGAGCAATTTCTCTAAACATGTATATCAATTACATTCCTGTTCACAAAATGTTTTCTGAAGTATCTCCTCTCACTCTTGTGCTATTTGTTTAAATGTTTCATGGGAAACCTACTTCTCATCGTTTGCATTCCAACCATACATTCGATGATGAATATTGCTCCTATAGCTGCATTCTATCATCCCATAAAGTTTTGTCCCCTTGTTCAGATTTACCCTGTATAAAATATGCATGCATGTATGTATGTATGTATCCTTACACACACAAAGTAAATAGGAAAATTCCATTTACTCTTAATTAACTAATAATCAAAGTCAGCTATGTTTATGAAATGTGATGGCTAGCTAGAGCAGAAGAACTGTACCCCAGAAAATGAGACAGGGTGCAGAGATTAACACTAAGTATTCAGTATTTAGCAATCCTATCTTAAAAATTGTAAGAGATATGGAGAAAAGTCAGTCCCAACGTTGTACAGTAACTAATAGTTTAGTATAAAAAGATATATTGCACATCAGGTAAATAAATTTAAACCTCTACAGCCTCAAATTGCTCAAAGGAATATGCAATTTTTATCACAACATTCGAGTAATAAAGACAGATATAAGTACAAAAGTATAATTTAATGGATAAACAAAATGTAGTTTGTCAATTCTGCCTGGAGAAAATATCTTTGCATGCACATTACAATACACTTGGCTTACATATGTAACTTTTATGTAAGCCCCAAGGAAAACAAGATTCTTTTGAGGAAAATCTGATGATTGTGAGACCATTTAACATAGATGATGATCTGTTCTCCAAATGCAGCTGTCAAAGAAGTGTTGCACTGGACCGGAATGCTATGCTGCCATGTTAGAACCATAAGGAACAGAATAATGCCATCTGAAAATGCAGGTTAAATTTTCTTACAAAAGCTGGGGGTATCTCTGCCCAGTTAATAAATCTCCTTCAAACATAGATCCATATAAGCAATTCATCCAAATGTTAACTGCATTAGCACACTTGATACTATCTGAAAATTTGACCCCATGAAAGAATGTCCAACCAATAATGATTATTGTTTCAGTTTAGGAACCTGCCATATTGGAATACCACTTAATTTGTCCACAGAATATTAAAATGTGCATCAATCTGAACTTTGTTCATGGCCAAATTCCACCATTGAAATTCTTGTTTATTGTCTTGCAGCAAAATTTCTTTCTGTGGCATGGCTTGGCAAAGATGGCACTATGCTCATATAGAACATCCATGTCATAAGCCACATGTCTGGGTAATATCTCTTTGTAAAACTGCTTATAACTAAAGCCTTTTACGAATTGTTTGTGTTCCATAGAACAAAATTTATCAATACTTTTAAAATGCTAATTATTAAAATTATATTATTTTTTTGTAGGTGAGCTGACATACATGCTAAAATATCTTCTCTTCATATACACCTGCACTCCCAAATGCGGACAACTTATAGTACTTCATGCTTTTCCCAGTCTGAAATTTTTAGTGATGCTCTTCTCTAAGACAAGAATGCAGCCTGAATGGCATTTTGCTGGTATTTACCATATAGAAACACCATCTCTCAATATTGCTTATAAATTAATTCACCATTTTTACATAAAATATATAAATCTAATTATCTGATAACAATAAATTTTTTTTTATATTTTTATTTCTTATTCAAAGCGTGATTTCCCATTTTTTACACCATATTTGAATGTAGTCTTTTTTATTTGAGATGGTTGCATCTGTGTATGTTAAAAAAAGCAAAATTCCTATTCCATTTAAAAATTTGCACTCGATGTAAACAAAATATTGCACATGAGTTTTGGATCTTTTAGGTTGTACTAGAGATTTTATTGTTCTTGAATACACGCTGTCTTTTTATCAGTAAACAATGCACTGAAAATTAGTTGACTTTTTTCTAAGCATTTCTCAAATTTTTAGGATCACTAAGTTTTGAAATTTGCTGCAACTTTTCTTATTTTACAGTTACACAGCCCTTTTACTATAGCTAAATATTACCAGTAGCTGGTTTTATACACCAGTTATTTAGAGATGAATTGAATAGCCTAATTACCCAATTCATACAAGATGTAAATTTACTAATATAAGTTAAAAAAAAAACTATTTAATATCATATATAACTAACTATATTATAAACTTTCTCCACTAGGCTTTTTAAGTTTTCTTAAAAAAATCCAGTTATTTTGTGGGGGAATAAATTTGACTATCATAATTAATAGATTTTATTTTATTGGACATTTTCCTGTATAAAACTCTTTTTTAACTAATTACAATTTTGTTACTTTAATTTAAATATTTTTATTTCAAAAATCTTAATATTATAACTCTGAAGGGGACTATCTGTTTGAAACTTTAAAAGGTGAAATGTTTTAGATTAATAACGATCTTAAGACTCAAGAATTTTTAAAATCAGTCAGTTTATTAGTCAAAACTAGTATTTTTTTAAATCTTTGTAAAACTGCTTATAACTAAAGCCTTTTACGAATTGTTTGTGTTCCATAGAACAAAATTTATCAATACTTTTAAAATGCTAATTATTAAAATTATATTATGCTAAGTACTAAAATTATGCATTATGTACTAAATGAAGCATGCACACCATTACCCCCCCCCCAGTTTAAGAGGCTAAAATCTTCTGAATCTGGAAACTTAACTTTTGATTAGTCATTCAGTTTTGAAAAAAGTTGCTATCAGAAATATGTACTGCATCTACACTATCAGATCCACTCTTCAATTTAATTATATATTAATAAATTTTGTTTTTTAATAAAATAACATACTCAAGAGACTTCATATCAAATATATGATCTTTTTTGCTTGCTCGAAAGAACTGTGATCTACATATTCTATAATTGTCAAATTATGAATGATATTTAATTGGTACTTACTTGAACAGTTAGCAACATTAACCATACTTCCTTCACAATCTTTACCATCATTTGCAGGAGGTGGGTTGTTGCAAGCTCTAGTCTGACACAGACATCTGTCACCTGATATTTCATTTCCAACTTGAGAACATTCAAACCAAGGACTCCATGAGCTCCATCCCCCATCAACTAAAATATTTAATAAAGACTTTTATAAAAAAATTAATACTCAAACATATCAAACAAAATCAACAAAGTCCTTGATAACACCATTTTTATTCATTCTGAAAAATGTGAATAAAACACTGCATTAAACATCCTTTTTGGCATGGTACTATTTAAAATTATTAAAACTTGCCCCCCCCCATTTATATTATTAGATTATATTCTTGTTCAGTAGCATATATATTATTCTCGAACATATGGGTAGAAAATTGTTAACAAATTAAGGTGTAATTAAAGAAGTTTGTCCAATATAATTTCAAATATGCAAGTAAATGTTCCACATCTTAGAAAAATACATCAGCAACAGTGTTATAACAAATATTTACTTCATAATTAAAAGGAATCTAAAAAAGAAGAAATGTTAAAAATTAAAAAAAAAAAAAAAAAAACTATATGGTTTAAGCTTAAATTTTTTTCAGAATTAAGAACAAAAAAATAGCCTTTTGCTCTGTATTTTCTAGGCAGAAATGCAAGAGCATTAAAAAATGTCTTTTGCTAGAAATTAGGAAACGTTTCATGCATTTCTTTCTGTTATGTATGAAGGCAAAGAAATCTGAGAACTTTTCACACATTTTTTCCCTCGTAATGTATGAAAGTAATCTCGTCTCTTCAAAAAGAATTATAATTTTCTTCTTATTTAATTAATTTATCTATTTCAAGACTTCCTTCTAATGATACTTTTATGAAAAGGATGTTAACCCATTAAGGCAACAAAATCAATTAAGAAGCTGCATATCTAGCAAATTTTATGTGAAAAGGGCTCTGTTAGCATTTTTCAGATTTATCTCATGGTTTCACTGTATTTTTGCAATTCTTAAATTTCTATTATAAATTGCTTACTTCTAGACATTTCTAAAGAAAAGCTTAGAAATTTCTGTAATAATTGTGGTATGCAATCTACTGCTTTTAGTTAGTTATTTTTCAGATTGTGGCACTAAAATTGGTTGTTGTTTTAATCATTCCTTTTTTGTATCACTTTATTGCACATTCAAATTTAAAAATAGCATTTCAGTTGTACCATCTAAAAAATAACTAAAAGCAGTAGATACATGAATACCGAAATTTCTTTTCACTAGATTATTGTAGTTTTAGTACATACGTTTTATAGCATTTATTTAAAACATATTTTATCATTTAAAATCTAAATAGCTGAGAGTGACACATCTGCATATCTAATCTCAGAAATACATATTTATCTGCAAATGGAGTTTTTGCTTTTTTTTGGTTTCATGTTATATGAATTGAAAAAAAAAAATAGTATCTAGATAACTACAGCTGATACCACTAATTTGCTATTAATTAATACTATATTTGATACAGAATATATGACTTCTGATAAGCGAAGGGAGATAAACTTATGGAAGTAAATGACCATTCTGCATCCTTAACTTTAGACAAAAAATACCAAAATACCTAATACATTTAGGAATCTTGAATATTCAGAATAAATAATTACAAATGAGTGTTTTTATAGAGTAATAAAATATGCAGTAGCAAAAAGGTATGAGTATATTTTAAAAGATAATTTAAATTGATAAGATTATTTTATGTATTTGATCCAATGTCATATTTAGGATTATATTTATAATTTATTACTTTAGTTTCATTAAAAATATAGTTTTGCTGTTAAATATTTTATAGTAAGAAGATTTTGCAAAATTTGGATGGCATTTTCGGTGAAGTGAATGAGGTTTCCTATCCAAATATCAAAGGATTGCAAAATTTGTATAATTACTTTTTTATATATTTTTAGCAAAAAATTTAATTGATTTATTCTTTTTGTTCTTATATCAATAACTCATCTTCTAAATTACTAAAAGATTAGGAATTTATCTTCAAGAATTATAAATCACTCAAATAATATTTGCATAAAAAGGCAGTGGCAAACTGGAAGTTCCTTCATAACATAGTAATCATTAATAACAGCATACTATTCATCTGCAATTTTAAAACATTACGTTACGATAAATAAAAAAGAAAAGTTTTCATTTCCGTACTTGGCAATTTTGCTTTTGAGCAAGAAGTTTCCTCTTGGAGCCAAAATGTTCTGAGTGGGTTTCTGCCAGGTGCTGTTGTACAAGCCATTTGATTATCATTCCAACCACAATAAGGGTCCATTGCATTTAAACATTCACTGCAAAATGCATTTAAAAAATAATACTAAAGAAAAAAATTCACTACATCATGATAAAATATGATAATTAAGAAGAAGATACAACAGAGAGATGTAGACTAGAAAATAGCCAAGGTGTTTTTATCATTGTTTATTTGCAGTATTTGATGTGAAAAAACAATTATTCAAAACTTTTTTTATTTTATAATATAAGCATTAAAAACGAGATAAATGAGAACAAATTCTGCACCTTTTTGTGTGAAATCGGTTGCACCTGTGGACGGGGATCCTAAGAACTGATTCTTCTGTTCCAATATACAATGAATTCTGCAAGAAAGCTATATCATATTAAAAGGAAAATGAAATGCATATAAATGAATCTCAGATCAGATGTGCATATTTATAACTAGCTGCGACTTTATTCCCCTTTTTCCCCCAAAAAAGTGACTTATAATAGTGATTTTTTTCCTTTTTGTAATCGCAGTACATCTATTTTGCATTACACAATAAATAGAACTAATTCATAATTCTAATACTTGCATAGCAGTAAAGAGATAAAGAACTTGAGATGTTCACAAAAAAAGAAAAGGTTATTTTTAAAGAAAGCTTAGTTCTAAAAATATGTTAATCAATTTTAAAAATTAATAATTAACATGATTAATTATTTGGGGGGGGGCTAAACTTAAAAAAATAAATGAGCAAGAATTACTAGTAGTAATAGTAGTAATAATATGCTAACATTCTGTATAGGTTGAAATAAGATCATAACTGTTCTTCAAAAATTGTAAAAAAAAATCCACTTTAAAATACAAGAAATGTTCAAATTGAAATAATATTCGACTTTTTGAAGCACATAAAATATAAGCACATAAATTCATGATTTATGAACTATAGTGATTGCCTAAAGGATTAATTTCATATTCCTTTTATGTAAACTCCAGCTAATTTCATAAAACAAAATTATTATTAACTTTGTAAGGTTTATCCCAAGTTTATAACAGTTATTTTTTAAAGCTCCTTTTCTATCTCTCCTAATTTCAGCTTACAAATACTTACCAGAATCAGTTTTTAGAATCGCGTTTAATGCAAATGTAGAGCAGTATTTAAGTCGAAGTTCCACTGAATTCGAGAGAGAGAATCAGAGTTTTTGACTAGCGCATGTTTGCCTTTTGGCCCCATCTCTAAGCTGTTACTACACTTGGCCGTACTACATGCCCTTGTTGATAGCTTTGCTAGATAATTCGATATTTAGGGGCAACTAGTTTAGAATTGTGTTAGCTTCAGCTAAATATCTTTAGTTAGTCATTAGTTAAGTTCTTATTTCTTATATTTTAAACCCAAGTGGAGGCTTTGTTGTATGCTCTGAGAAAGGGACCACCTGTGCACCATTAGTTTGAGCAATAAAGGGTTATTAAGCTTTCTTGAGTTTTATGTTTCTGCTTCTGGACTCAAGCGATTATTCACTTAGTAATTAGTTCACTGGGTTTCTCCACAGTTAATAGATAAAAGGTAGGAACACTACAACTTAACATATTAAACATATATGTCAAAACTATACAAAATATATGCATAATTCAAGGGTCCTTTCAATCAAAACAAGCTTTTAATACTCCAACAGAACGACTATATTAATTGATTTTATAATTTTTCCCATAGTTGTTATTCAGGAATAGCTCACAATTTACCATTTCATATCTGCCAACTTTTACGAATTTTTCGTAATTTTTACGAAAATGCGTTTGTCTTTACGATCGTAATCCATTTTTTATGATTTTTTTCCTTTTTCGAGTGTTTTTAGTGATTTTTGTCGGAAATTTTAGAATTTTTTCGCCAATTGCATCGTGTTTTACCGCCAAGCTACCGACTACTTCGACTCCAGTGACCTGCGGTTTCTCCCAACTCGCCGCTTAACCAGCCAATCCAATGCACTGAACTTGTTTCTCCCACTCTTTCTCTTTATGGGTGCCAGATTATTTTTTTTCGCGTTTCGCTTCAGCAGCAAGGGAATTACTCAGCTCGGACTGAGCGAGCGTGGATTGTCGCATTTCTTTTTTTTTTTTTTTTTTTTTTTGCTTGCACGTGCTACGAATTTTCTTAATACGTCGTTGTTACGAAATGAGTTCAAAAAATCCATATTCTCAATAGTTTCGGCCTGCCTACAAAGCCAAATTTCCAACAACTAAAGAATCCTTCAAAGGAAATAACTATGCATTGTTGCAACGTGTGCGCCTTCATAACAAGTCACGGTGGAAGAATCAACATTGTGAAGCATGTTAAGTCTAAAAATCATGAAGTTAATGCTTCGGCTTCGACAACGTCAAAGAAAGTGGATGATTTTTTTTTCAAATTCGGCTACGCATTCGGATGCCGATGTCATTTTGGCAGAGTGTTTGTTTACTGCATTCCTCATCGAACACAACGTGCCGCTAAGCGCTGCCGATCATGCCGGTCAACTTTTCAGATGGATGTTTCATCTTTTGACAAATTGAAAATTCATCTTTTGAAAAGATTCGTTTTTTTGTTGATAAATTTCCATTTTTGTTAACAATTAAAGAAAATGAATGTCATAATGATGCTTTAGATGAACTACAGAACCAATTTTCTGCTGCACAGTTTGAAGACTTTGCCAGTTCTGGAGAAGATAAACTTGATGTCCTCGTTGGTGCCTTAAAAAGAATAAAAAAGAGTTCATGGAACACCAAAATATGATAGACTAGCAAGAGTTTTTATGTGCTATTCTCGTAATTCCACACAGTAATGCTGAGTGCGAGAGAGTCTTCAGTGTTGTAAAGAAAAACAAAACTATGTTTCGTTCTTCAATTTCACCAAAAACTCTAGAAAACATTTTAATTGCTAAATGTTATGAGGAAACTAATTGTTATGACAGGAATTTTCCAAAGAATTTTGGCTAAAGCCAAAAAATGCACTCTAAATTCATTGCAATAATTTTTTTGTGTAACATTATGTTCTTGTTTTATGTTTCCTAATAAATTTTTTAGTTACTACTTAACTGAGATTTACTAATGTAAGTATAATTTTCTTTTTTCTATTTGTATAAATTGTTATTTTTTCAATATCAAAGCATGATATTAATTCTTCGTGTTCTTCTGAATTTTGGAGAAATCTTCTGAATTTTTATTTTTAGAGGTTGGCAGGTATGCCATTTTCTCCATTGCCAATATTCAGGTACAATTTATCATTTTATTTCTGAAGATGATGAAACATTAAATTGTACTAAGAGATATGATACACAAAATGCTAAACTTCAAATCTGAGTATTACTGTGTAAAGCCTTACCGTATCTTTCAGAAGTTTCAGAACTTTTAGTCTATCCTTACTGCCTTCAGTAAAAATATTTATTTTCTCAATTAGACATGTTTCTTTTGTGTCTGGAATGACAACAAGCTTCTGAATGACTCCTTCCACAGATGCAATAAACATAACATGCACATTACCCGAAGCTTTAGTCTGCACAATATCAACAATAATGTGGCTGTACCTAATGAAAACAAATATTAAGATTACTAATTATAATACTATCATCCCCCAAAATAACACATACAGCTAATAATGTGATTTCAAAACAAGAGAAATAATGAGAAAGAAAGTATTCCTTGCTAATGTTGCACATGATTAATGCTGAAAAATTAATTACACATATGTAGCAAAATGTTACTTTAAATTCATTTATCTTGAAGAATAAAAAATGAAACCCCATGGAATGTTTCAAGGTCAAGCGAAGGCAATTTGAAAATATGCTCCACAAATGTGAGAGTCAGCCAGTTATTTTACAATCAACATTAAGAGTATCTAAGAGTTTGATTGTACTCATGATGCTGCAGTACCAGCATTCATATTTTCACAATTTTGTGGTAAATATTTAATTTTTATCCAGCAATTAAATTTTTGGTACTTTGTTTCGCCGGCACAAATCTCGCCAAGCAGACTTTGTTGGTGACAACATACAGTATACACATAAAATTGTTAAAAAATGTTAGTTCTAAGAATGTTTTATTTTTAAGGCATAAACATTTTAATATGGTTTAAAATTTTGTAAAAGGCCAATAAATAAAGACAATAAATTTGTAAAAAGACATTAATTTAAGAATTTACTATGCTATCGTGGTTCAATATCCTGATTCGCCGGTTCGGATCACGCGACCCCAAGTGATCTCATCTCACGTAAACTACACTACAAAAATATATAATTTTCTCAGTAATTATCTACATTGATTTCAAGTTAAATCTTAATTTGGAATACAAGTTTAAATGCAAGAATTATTTCAATTCCTACGAATAGCTTACTCCGAAATTATGTAAAACCGTGGTGCTTTACTTTGCTAGTGTATTCTCATTAGATTTGATGAATTTAACCCTTGATTTTGCCTTTTCTATACAGGGTTATTCAAAAAGAAAGAGCAGATTTCAATCATTTACTGTATATACCCACGTATAAGTCGACCCCCCCCCACTTCGACATAAAAAATTCATAGAAAATAAGAAACCCGCGTATAAGTCGACACCCCAGTTCCGAAATCGATCGAGAAACTTCGGAAAAAATTTTTAAGTACTATATTTATTCAAAATCATCTGAGAAAAAAAGTAAATATACGATAAAAATACCTTAGTAAATAAACAAAATCAAAATCCTTCAACGTCCGATTCATGGTCAGATTCGCCAAACATTTCATAGAACTCTTCTGTCGTCATTGGCTCGTCATCATACATATTTTCAGTCTCAAACTCTGTATTGTTACAATCACTACTAGAGCCTTCGTCGTCATTTTCACTTTCAAAAACAGCATCATCTTCCGTGCCGTCTAGTTCGTTGCTAATACAACATTTTTTAAATGATTTTATAATCATTTCAGAGTTCCAAGCATCTTTAACCCACCGAGCAATTAATGTAATATCAGGCTTTTTTTTGTTCGGGGGCTGAAAATTCTTTGGTTTAATCGAAACTTTCTCTAGTTAAAGTATGAAACTCTGTGATTAGTTCGTCACATAATTTAAGTCATGAAATTACTTCAAGTGACTTATTTGATAAGTCGTCCAATTTGAGTGCCGGAAGAACAACTGCATTATATAAAGAAATTTTTGAACTTCCGATTCTTTTAATTTTTTATGGCCCCGCATATAAGTCGACCCCCCACTTTGAAGTCTTTTGTTTTGTCCAAAATATCTCGACTTATACGCAGGTATATACGGTATTTCTTCCAAACTACAAAAGATAGAAACACGATTCTAACGTTAATGGATAGAGAAAAGTTTATAATGATGGTATGCATTCAATATGAGCACCATGTGTTACATGACAAATGTCAAAACGGTGGCTCATTTCTTGCCACACACGAATGAGGCATAAAATTTAATTATCTTTGTAAATATTCTATGTAATTGTATGTCAGTATTGAAAGAAACTATGAATCTGGTAAGAAATGGCTGCGACTTCTTTTGAAAACGAGGCGCAAAATGTTACCAGCGAAGATATTCCGTTTGGCATCAGTTGTAACATTATTGGTGACTTTATCGTATGCGCCGCAAAACGGAAAAGTACCAATTTTTTTTTTTTTTTTTAATTTTGTTATGCATTTTAATTTATACATATTTTTGCATTTAATTTTATAAATGTCAAACTGATTCTGGGTGATGAAAGCTCATATTATTAAATCATTCCTTAATGTTTAAATAAACAAAATAAAAATTGTATTAATTACACTAATGTTAAAAATATAAGCAACACATGCTAAAAGAAAAGATATAAAAATAGGAATTAAAACATACAATTTATATATGATATAGAGGATGCATTGTGAATGCAAATAGACAACCAAAATTAGCATAAAAATGCAACCCCACAATCACAGCACAACCTTATAAAAGGGTATGATGGACCTATGCATCAGTCTGCAAGCAGCGATATTTTTGTGTAATCCGAGATAGCCAAGAACGGAAGACACTATACTATGAAACACGTTGGAGGGCTGTCGGAATGTTGCAAGCTGCGGCAAGACAATACGCTGTTCTAAGAGAACTGAAAATGCACCATAATGCCACACCAATCTCTTGGATCAATTTAACGCATATCCATTAAATAGTTTTTGTTTTATTCCATGTTTTGCTTTTGTTGTTTATTTTTTGAGCTGGAGTGCACTTAACATTGCTACGTTTTCATGCACTTTTTAAAGTCAGTTATATATTTTGTTTTATAATCTGATGCTTGTTTTTATTTTGGTTACACAAGCACAACCCCCTGAAATTGCATAAATCACAGAATTTTTTTTTTCCCAGTGTTTAAAAAGTAAAATAAAAATTTAAAAAAAAAAAAAAAAAGAGAGAGAAGAGGGGCTATAAAATAAATACATTATAACTGATTAAATACATTATAACTGATTATAAAATAAATACAAGTTTGCTTTTGCCTTACCAAAGTTTTTGTGAGAAATGATAAACTAAGGAGAATTTTTTACAGTCAAAAGTCGTTAATTCCGACACCCATAATCCGGAATGATCTATAATTTGGACCTCAAAGCTACAAACTTTCTGCGCATGCGTCGCGTCGACGCTTGCGCGCAAGACCTTTACCGCTGCGAATTTGCGTGTGCGCGTGCGCAAAATACGTTTACGAATGCGCGTTTAATGTATAACGGACGGGATAAGCTAAGCTAAAATTATCTAATTATCTATTTCAGTTAATGTTGCAGATTGCGTTGTTCCTTATCTTCGAATTGGATCCAGATTATTATTTTTTGCAGACTGTTAGAGCAATTTATAAAAGTAAGCTTGAACTTTCGATTATGTCAAATAGAATTTCCGTTATTTATTTACTAATATGTAAAGGATATACAAAGCGAAAGTATCTTTCGGAGTCCATTAAACAAAAAGTGGAATTGCTACAAAAAATGGATAAAGGCATATCCTTTGCTTATTTAAACTTTAACGTTTGTTTATCTAAACGTTAATGTTTGTTTATGTAAACTTTGTTTATTTTTAACGAGGCAGCGGCCTGCAATGAATTGGAAGTTGATCTGTCAGCACTATCCTTATCTTCAGGGCAGATGTTTTTGATAAATGAATATTTCAAAACATATAGTAATTTAGTAAGGCTTATAATTCCTTACTAAATGTAGTATTTCATCTCGATGTACTCCGTCTTTGATATGATTTAAATCAAATGCCTCGTCATTGTAATTCACTTCGGATAGGAAAGAAAGTGACAGAGGTTATTGAAAACGAAAAAATTTCGATTGACAAATAAGTCGGTATTCTCGACACAGCAATTATAGGACTTGAACAGCGGAACTTTTTAACTGAACAAGAAATTATGTCTGTTTATGGAATTAAAGAGAATGTATTATTACATAAAAAACGAAGCAACTTAAACAACTTACATTGAAAGAAATGTTTAATAAAGTAAACAAATAAATATTAAGCTTTTTTTTTGTAAATTTGATACCCTTTAGATCATAATTGTTCTTTATTTCGTAAATTACGGTTTCATATTTTTAATTTTATAATTTCTGCATGCCATTTTACCAGATTTAAACTGATGATGTATAATCCGGAAAAATCGATAATCCGGAATTGCCGAAGTCCCGACAAGTCTGTATTAATGACTTTTGACTGTATTTGCTCAAAAATCCACCAATAATGATAAGAAATCATATTTCTGAAAGAATTTCAAAATGAGAGCAGTGTATAATGAGTAAAATTCTTTCAGTTTACTTCAGAGAATCTGAAAAATAATTTTAAATAGCAATCACTGCAGTTTCGGAATGATGCAACTTCTAATAACTAGTTTTTGAGATCAAACCTTAATTATTGCCTCTCATTAACAAAGTGCAGGGTTCAGACCTTGGTCATCAGAGTAGCCTAAAATTGTTTTACAGTTTAAACGATGGAAACTAGAAACCTAAATATTGTACATTTGAAGCTTCCTCAAACTACTCACAAAGAGAATTTAAATAATCTTTTAATATTACAATATTTTCTCCTTCAAAAATTAACAAATAAAATTTAGTTAATTACATATGCTAAAATACACAAGAGACTACCAGCTTAAAAAAGATATCTCTGTGAAAGTGGCTCATATTTATGTTACAAGATGGGAAAATATCTGGTAAGCCTTATTTGTATCCAGAATCAACTCCATGCTTAAGAAAGCTGCTTAGAATGCTGTTTTGTTTTGGGAGGGGGAAGAGTGCAACAGCTACCTTGTTCTTACAAGTGATAATTAATAAAAGTATATTTCACCATAAATTACCAATGTATTTAATTAATATGGGGTGCGAAATGCATTCATCACATTGGATGGCAAAAATGCTAGAGATGGGCTTTTTTACACCTATTGAATTTAAAACGATGTAGCGTCACAAAAGTCTAAATTAAAAATAGATATCGTTAAAAGGATACTAAAATTCTTTTAAGAATGTTAGTGTTATAAATTATATTATGCCTACCAGGCTAATTTAATTTTAAATTCAGGTTATAGGTAGAAATATTGTTACTTAGTTCTTACCTTTCATTCTCAGCTTTCAGAATTGGATATGGCGTCATAGGTTGAACAGCTTCATTCATCAACTGATATTTTTCTGAATCTAAAAAGTGTTCTGGATCTAAAAGGTGTTCTGGATTTCCAGGGCTTTCACACTAAGAAAAAAAAAAGATCAATCACAAGGAAACTATTAATGAACCAAATAATTGCCATTGCAAGAAAAACTAATGGCTAAAGCTCCAAAAGAGAAAAGGATTTTTTCCCTATATACAGAAAAACTATAAAGAGCAATTTGCTACAATTATCAAAGATATATGTGACAAGACTATGCAATGAAATATGACCAAGACTGCTCAAAATTCATAATATATTATGTTTCATAAAAATAATGTGCAGAAAACAAAATCATGCGACCAAATACTTTACGATTGCCAAAAATATATACTGCCCCATATTAACTTTATATGCTAAAGCATTCTGACACCTTATCATTAACAGAAGGTTTATAATATTTTATCTAAAAAAATTTCTTTTTTTAATATTTGGAAAATGCAGTGCCCTTTAAGTGTTTTTATGATGACTATGTAACATTCAATGTAACAAATTTCAGCCTCATCTTTAAGACATTTCATACTGAGATTTAAACAATCTAACCAACAATAATTTTTTTAATGCAATTCCAGTGTACACTAGCAGTGGCAAAACTTATACGTTACAGAAAAAAAAAAAAAAAAAAAAAAAAAAAAAAAAAAAACTGCAAACTGCACATATATAATTTGCAGTTCATAAAAAGAGATCAGCTTTTAGAATTTGAAGTATTTAATTGATACTTATTACACAAAATTTGTATATTCTGTTTTTCATATGTGTCATAATATACCTTATGCACGAAGAAGGATGTTTGAAAGTTCTTTTAAGCAATTTCATTATTGTGACAATCACAATTTTTAAATTGTGAATTCTGAAAACTCCTAATTTCTAAAATTTTAAATTCCGATTTCTAAAGCTAACATTTCCACGATAGTTTAATTATAAATACTACCTTGTTAATATAGTGAAAATTGCTAATCATTTCTTTATATATATATATAATAATGGAACTTCTAATTAAAGGTTTCCTTTAATTCAGGATTACTTTAAGTTGAAAAGCTGTTATACTCTGATTCATCTGTGCAATTCACTTAGTCAATAAATTTCACTAATTTATATATTCCCTTTAAATATAAGCTTGGCTGAAGATAATTCTCAAAAATTAAAAAAGGGATTATTTTGTTTGGGGGGGGGGAGCCCAACCAAATAATTAAAATTTTTTATTGAAAATCAATATAACGATACAAAATAAGGAGAAAATCCATAATACATTAATTTTATTCTAAAACCTTACCTGAAAATATTTTCTGGGAGATGTTTGTCTTTCCCATGCAGATTTTGGATTACTTTGGAATTTGAAAGCACCAGTAAATGAATTATGAATGGATGACATATTAAAGGCACACACTGCAGTTCCATAAATACTGTTCCTATATTAAGAAAAAAAAAAATATGGAAAAGCCTACTTTAAAATTGTATTAATGGAATTATAAGATTATGCTTGAAGTAATTTTGAATAAAATATTAGATACATACAAATAATAAGGTCTTTCTTTTTATTAAACCATAGTTTACATTTAACTTCTGTTTTTCTACTTACTTGATAATTTGCTGACCATTTATTGCCAGTCATTAATGAAAGATTGAAAAGAATAAAGATTTCATTTTTTTATTTATCTTTCTTATTTTCATTTCTTTATTTATCACTACACATGGGAAATCCTAAAGATCTAGAAATAAGGGAAATTCCCCATTTTTAAAAATACAGGGAAATCCCATAATGAATGGGTGTTGCGAGCAACTGGGCATAATAACTGTTGAGCAACTGTTGATGCACTTGTAAAATGTAATTTGATTGAGAGTTTATTTTTTATTTTTGAGTTTTCACTTACTGATAAACTATTGGTTCTTATAACATCACATTACACATACTCTTTATAAGATTAGAAGTAAAAAAACACATCTTGGGGTCCATAATGTAAATTATAAGATACAAAAAAGATAAACATTTATTTTTAGGGTAGTATAATTAAGGTGACCCTATTCAGACCCCTGCAGAACTTGTTCTGCCTATTGGATTTCGATGAAACTTGGTATATACTATGGGAAAAAGATTTCTGCAATAAAAAATAGTTCAAATTTTGACCACCAGATGGCAATTTTCAAAAATTCCTTATGCAAATTATTCAAACCTATAAACAGACTTACAGCCAGAGCCAGAAAATCATTCTGTGTGCCTTTGTCATTGTTAATCATGTTGTTTAATATCATGTTATAATTAATAATCATGTTAATGCCTTTGTCCTTGTTGAATTTTTAAAATTATTATTATCATAGCCCTTACAGAAGAAAGATCGAGCTTTACTGGTAAAACTGTTTTATCCGAATGGTAGCAATAGCTTACCTGCATTGTGCGAATATCATCATTTAAAGGGATTGCGAAAAGGCGAGAATAATGTAATATCCAGAGCTTTTCTGGATGCCTGGCCTGCTCATTCACCCAATTTAAATCCCTGCGATTTTTGGTTGTGAAGATTCCTAAAAGATCGTGTTTATGGCGGAGGAATTCGGACTTTGCCAGAGTTGTAAGCCAGCATTACACGCCATTTTTCTGAAATCCCTCGAGAGTTACTTCACACTACAAATGAACACGCTATAATGCATTTTGAACACATAATTGATGCCAATGGAGCACAAATTGAGCACATTATGTAATCGAATAAATTTTAATGATTCTGACAGATTTTTTATCCTCCTTTGGGTGGCACAATTCCCCCTGGTGGTCAAAATTTGAACTATTTGTATGCAGAAATCATTTCCCAATGGTCCAGATAACATATATACCACATTTCATCAAATTTCAATAAGTAGAACAAGTTCTAAAGGGGTCAATTTAATTATAACCACCCTGTACACACACACAAAAGAATGAAAACTGCAGCTACAGTCTTTTGCATACGCCTTCAAACTGAAATACTTATTCTATCACGTTATCTGCAGTTTGCTTGGTGAATATTAAAGTTTGCTTGGTGAATGTTCTGGTGTCCCATTGGGAACTTATATGCAGAACTGCTTATGTGAAGTGCCTCAGTGACATTAAATTAATGAGCCAGACACTTTGTACTATGTGCAATAATCCTGATATTTGAATAGATAGACAGATAGATATCCCCTTTATTTATTAAGTACCATGTGATCCATGATAAAAATTCCAATGAAATTTACTTTGCAGAATGTTACTCTGAGAAAGCAAAATGGTGATTCCAATGAAAATTAACTTCTCAAAACATTCCTATGGTAAAGCAAAACGGCAACTCCATCTGAGCAAGACAAGTCTTGTCCTGATACCAGAAAACTTCACAGATAACAGATTATTTTTCGCTTTTGCTTAAAAATACATATCAGTATATAGCATTCAACTAATAACTAAATTATTAGATCTTGAAAAAAGATGAAAAAGAATCAAGATCTTTTTTAACTTTTATTTCAGGAAGTTTGTTCTTGCAAACATCTTGCTACTTTGTGGCTTATTGGTAACTTATTTCAGTACTTATTTTATCATTTATCCTTGTTGAATTTTTAAAATTATTATTATTATTGTCATAGCTCCTATTCAAAGAAAAAGTTATACAACTGTTTTTAATCTTCTGGCAGTGATGAAAGTATAATGTAATTTAAAAATTCAGTTTCAGCTAGAAAATTTCCACTTGACGAGAGATGCATTTGGTGATGAAACAAGAAGAATTGGAGTAAATGTCTAATAAGAGATTTTGTTAGACTGGTATCATAGTTTGGCTTCTTTTAGAAGATAAGTTAGAGAAATGAACAATAAAGCAAAGAGAAAAGGGACTATCAGTGTCAACAGTTATAGTTCGCTTTCAAACAAAAATAATTGCTCAACAAATAGGCATTAAAAATTTTATTGAAGGATGAAACTTTGTTGATTGGTGGATCAGTTCATGTATACTTTTCCATGAGTTCAGCATGATCTTTACATGTAGTTTGCAAGGGTTTTTGTCTCTGTTAGATGAAACAATCACTATGAGCACAAATCCATTTTAAAATTTAGGGTAGCTTATCTTCTGAATGCATTGAGGAAGGGGAAAATTATGTGAGTATTTTTTTAATTTTCAGACCTTGGGGGAGGATAATATGATACTTCATCTGAACTGTTTAAAATTGTTTTAAATAACTGAAAAAGAAGGTTTCATTAGATGTTCTGTCATACATATCAAAAATAATTTAGAATACAAGTGTTCTAAACATGTTATTGCTTTGAGGTTCATTGCAACACTGCCAGTATTAAAAGCCAAGTTCAGAAAAAAACATATGCTATTGTAAACAACATGCTATATTTGTCTATATTGGCTGAAGAATAACTCAACAGTCTAAGAATAATTGATTAAGAATCAATTTCAGAAAAAATGTAATGCAGTTAAATACTGCAAATAATCTTAAAAAAAATTATTTAATACTTACACGGGTGTCGTAAAAGTTGCATAAAATATTTCCTCCCTCTCAATGTAATATGCACTTTGAATTTCATTGTAGTAAAATGGATAGTTGCCTGGAATGGAACAATTCAGCCGTGCTTTAAGGAATGTAGTAAACTTTCCTTTCAAATTAAATTTTCCACCTTCATCATTTTTGCAAATGCGGGCTATTCTAGAATAAATTACCTGAAAAGAAAGTTCAGTAAGTGTATATCACATCCACAGAAATCTTTGTTCAGCTTTTATAACAGTTGTCAAAGACACATAGTTCTGATTTAAAAAATGATAGTTATGTTTTGGCATTTTTAAGTTTTTAAAAAAGTGCTGGTGTAGTTTTTTTCATTAGAGGTTTTTAACTTTCTGCCAATCTTGGAATCTGACTGGAAGTTGGGCTTGACATAACCTGCTCCTCATAGTAAGATCAGAATTAACCCTTTGCACTCGAGAGGTGATTCTTGGTCACCACATGATTTGATGCCATAACTCGAGAGATGACTCTCAATCACTACTCGGTTTAAGACAGTAATTTGAGCAGTAACAATGTTTATTTAAGTTTGGTTTGGGCAATATCGTTCAATGAGTGTACTCAACAATACATGTGTATAAATAACTGCCAATCTTTAATCTTAAATATGTTTTTTAGATTTATTGTTAAATATATGTCTTTAACATTAGTTCAAACTCAACAGTCCAACTGGAATATTATATTCAAAGTTATAGAGCCCGGTGAGTAGTTTGTAGAAGAGACAGAAAATTCAAAAGGATAATGTACACAGAATATGAAGAAATATCGTAATGAGAACCATCTGCATCTGACAAAAGAGCAACAAGTAACTTCAAACATAAAAGAACCTTTAGATTTCCATGAACTTGCTTAAAATTAATTGTGAGAAATTCACCAAATATGTGAAAACTCGAGCTACTGGTTCGCCCGAGCAAAAAAACCCCTCGAGTACAAAGAGTTGACAATGTTTTATCAAGTAAATAATAATTTAATGGTTGAAATAAATAAATAAACTTTTGTTTACTTATTTAATTCCCCTCTAAAAACCTCTTAAAAATATCTATATCAGTAAAGAATTTCGAACTTCAATTTGGGGAAGAAAGAATATTCAAAATTGTAACTACATCTCCGTCCTGCTTAATTAGTATGTTCGATAACTATACCAAACCTATTAATAAAATAATTTATTTAATTCTTCTTACCCTTTTTATTTTATTTTATTTATAATTAACAGATCACACTGAGAATAGCTGGTAAAACTCAAGTTTTCAAAAAGGCCAAATGCTATTAATAATTTCCCTTGCATATCACACTCTTTGCCATACATATCAAAGGTGTATTTCTTTTTAAATATTACAACTTGAATCAAATTATTTAGTGCACAACTTTTCAAATATTAGCATTTGGAGCAATTAATAAAGAAGCGGATGCAGATTTATTTATTTATTTTGCAGAAAATGTTACTCAGTTAAATTTTAAAACAGACATATTACTGTGGAATGTAATTTTTTGTAAGCACTTTTAATTAACCAATGTAGTGTACATTGTTAGGATTTATAAGCAAGATTACTACTGGTATTATTAACATGATATATATAAGAAGAATGCTACTTTGAAGAATCATTTTGAACTCAGAACTACAGTGAGAATACTTAATGAAGTTTTGGTTTCTATATGAAAAGGAATACTGTAGTGTCTCTATTTTCCCTCTCATGTTTAAAAAAATGTGCTTAGCTCCCTCTGGAGGCTCAGAATTAAATTGGATGAGTTGATCTATGATTCAGTAAATTTTTGGAAAGAATCAAAGAAAACAGAAGCACATCTACCAGTCTTCAACCCAGGACTGGATTAGCCATTAAACAACATAATGCACATGCTGCACACGCATCGGAGAGGGTCACCATAAAAGTCGTTGGATATTCAGGAAAGAGGGACCAAAAAATTCTTATTATCAATTTTACCATTAAATTCCTATTACAGTCAAAAGTCGTTAATCCGGAATGATCTATAATCCGGACCTCAAAGCTACAAACTTTCTGCGCATGTGTCCCATTGACGCATGCGCGTAAGACCCTTACGGCTGTGAATATGCATGTGCGCATGTGCATAATACGTTTATGCTTGCGCGTTTAATGTATAACGGACAGTATAAGCTAAGCTAAAATTATCTAATTCAGTTAATGTTGCAGATTGCTTTGTTCCTGAATCTTCGAATTGGATCTGGCTTATTATTTTTTGCAGACTGTTAGAGCAATTTTATAAAAGTAAGCTTGAATTTTCGATTATGTCAAATAGAATTTCTGATATATGTTTACTAATATGTAAAGGATCTACAAAGCGAAAGTATGTTTAGAAGTCCATTAAACAAAAAGTGGAATTGCTGCAAAAAATGGATAAAGGCATATCCTTCGTTTTTCAAACCATTCCGAAATCTGTGTATCAATTTCATGCTGCTCTGTGGCCCGGGGGGGGGGGGGGGGGGGGGAACGCCGCGCAATGAATTGGAAGTTAATCTGTCAGCACTATCCTTATCTTCAGGGCAGATGTTTTTGATAAATGATTATTTCAAAACATATAGTAATTTAGTAAGGCTTATAATTCCTTACTAAATGTAGTATTTCATCTCGATGTACTCTGTCTTTGATATGATTTAAATCAAATTCCTCATGATTATAATTCGCTTCCGATAAAGAAGAAAGTGATACAGAGATTATTGAAAACAAAAGAATTTCGAATGACAAATTAGTCGGTATTCTCGACACAGCAATTATAGAACTTTAACAGCGGAACTTTGTAACTGAAGAAGAAATTATGTCTGCTTATAGAATTAAAGAAAGTATTATCACATAAAATGAAGCAACTTAAACAACTTACATTGAAAGAAATGTTTAATAAAGTAAAATAAATATTAAGCTTTTTTTTGTAAATTTTGATACTCTTTAGATCATAATTGCTCTTTATTTCATAAATTACGGTTTCATATTTTTAATTTTATAATTTCTGCATGCCATCTTACCAGATTTAAACTGATGACCTATAATCCGGAAAAATCTATAATCCGGAATTGCCGAAGTCCCGACAACTCCGGATTAACAACTTTTGACTATATCAATTTTACCATGGAATATGTGCTGTAGCTAAAACAAAATCAAAAAACAGAAGAATGAAGAAAAAATTGGTATAAACATATGTAAGGACACCAAAACCTTTTAAGTGCTTGGGGCCTCTTAATTTCTTAATATGGCCCAACTTTTACCTTTAGGAGACAGGCATATTTTGAATTTTCATGCATATAAAATTTGGTATGTCAAAATGAATTTAATAGCTGTGCAACAGGAAATACATTCTTTCTACAAAGTATTCAAACTAAGAAGAAACAGGATAAATGATTATTTCAAAACATATAGAGAAATTAATTTGTTTTATTTGATTACAGTAAATGAAAAACAACGAAAACACCCATGCAGCCAGCCTGTTCGGTTGGAACCAAACTCAAGTCAAACTACCAATGTTTGGCAATGTTACCACTCGGTCACTGGTGGGCTAATGTGCAATGGAAAAAAAAATAATAAATAATTTTAAAATATAAAGAAAAAGTTCTTTTAATTTAAGATGGAGGAAAACAGTTTTTTTCCCCTCCCCTTTGCGATTATAATTGATTTTTATCAGGGATTTACCTTTAGATTTATTTTTATAGCACAAATTTTTCAATAAATTGACTTACCTACCAGCTTCTCAAATTCTATGCAATGAATATTATATGATGAATTTATTCACAATATCATATTGTACATGCAACTGATTACGCACAGCATTCAATTGCGCCTGTGACAAACCACTAATACTGAATTATTTTATTCCTCTCCAACTGAAAATTCTGATTTAACTTTTAAAATATGTTTTATTTAATGTGATAATAATTCATTTCCTTGACACAAGCATCTAGACATGAGGTGGAATAATTTTATATTTGATAACGAAAATATCGGAATATTTTTACAAATTTTGTATCGTGTAATATGAATAGTTTGAAGAAAAGTGAAGATTTGCCAAAAAAATAAGATTACATGGCAAGTTTATAAATATTAAGGTTCATGGTTATCTCATTAAATTGGCTAGATATCGCCAAACTGGTGATTAATTTTTGCTGCCAAATTTAGGGAGAAATTGCCTGATGACATTTTGGTCCAGTCCCTGCATTAACTGTATCAGACCCTCCCTCATATGCAACTTTAACCATATATGCCATCGAGCAATTTCGAGGTACTGGAAATTCTTAGTCGACTGGGGAGGGGGCTATAAAAGGCCGGAGACAGCATCAGTTTTCAGTTTAAGAGTTGCCTTCGGAGCACTGAGAGATCTCTGTGCGAGCTTCACTCTTTAGATGCACTTTGCATTGGATTGTGTTTAACATTCTTAATAGTTTGATGTGGTAACTACTGACTGTGCTCTGTCATAGGTAGAAGAGCTATATGAATATTTTTGTGGAAAATTCCAAAACAATAAAGTGTTTCTCTTGGGAAAATAAATTTTATTAAGCTATCATCGGTTCTGCGTAAATTCAACGCATTACGAACTCATACACACATAAGAGTATGCTTTCAGGTCAGGGAACAATTTATTTTATGACTCCCAATAGAATTTAATCTTTGATTTTTTTTTTCTTTACATGAGCAATGCATAAAATTATTAAGATATATGACAATGTTCATCAAGTTGCAACATTCGTTATGTTTTGCATTTTATTTGTAACCTTGAACAATAACATTAGACCCTTACCATTAGATGGCAAGCTTACGAAAATTCTCCAGTTAGTGATTTTACGAGACAGATCGCTTTAGCATGCTTTGCCACAATCAAATAAAACAAACTAAATTAGTAATTTTATCACCAAATAACAATAATAAATTTAAATACTACTTTTATCACAGAAAGCCTCAGTAGAAATATCATAGGCTTCCCATTTTCTTTTTCTTTCTTTTTTCCTCACATCACAAAAGTAAATAAAAATTAGTTCACTGAAATTTTTTAAATCATTTACCTTTCCACAGTTTATGTACTCTACTGCAGCTTCTCTGAAGAAAAAGTAAGTAAAGTTTCCAATTTCATAGGAAGCCACAAAATTTGCATCTAAAATTAAAAAATTCACTATGTTAAGTTCCTCTGTAAAATTTAATTAAATTTTTATGACGGTTTTAACATACAATTAAAGTTTTTAGGCTCTAAACTTAAAAAATCAAGTTACAAAACAATATATGAATCATTTATACAGATTACAAATGCAAAAATAATTATCTTATTCATTGCCATTTTTAAATTCACTGTTTCTCGTTTTAATTTTTCATATGCAAAGCATATTTTACCAAATCCAAGTAAAACATTCAAATAAATGGGTACAACAAATATAATGGTGCATCAAAGGGAAATTAAAGTCTTAATGGACTCAAAAATCACAGTGAAAGTTAAAAAGGACATATACAGGATGAATCTGAACAAGTGGGCAAAACTTTAGGGAGGCGATAGAAGGAAGCTATAAAAGTAAAATTTGCCATATAATGTATGGTCGGAATGCAAACCGCTAACTGCTATTGTAAATGGTACAAAAAGGGTCAGTCCTCGCACCCCCCCGGGGGTTTACTCAGGCGAACGCCTGGAAAGTACTGGTTAGGATCTGTACCTAGGCAGTCTCAACCACGGGGGTATATAATTTGACTTCACAGGACTAGAGCCCGAGTATTGTACTCAGGGTGATTCAGGCTTGGCAGGGACTGGTACTGTTGTGTCTGTTCCTCTGGCTGTGGTGGAGCTATATCGGAGATCGTCGACTGAGTCCCCGGGGGGGGGTGACCCCATTCAGTTCTCATGGCGTGGATTGACAGAGTGGACAGAGCATCTTATAACAAAGTGGTTTTGACGATGGAGTGGTGCCCGGAGGCAAGGTGACAGAGTTTTAAATTTGCAACGATTAAGTTCTGCCCAACGCTTTGTAAAAGCCGGGGGGACTGCGGGAGTTGCCCCCACGAGGACGAGACCCTATGGACGACAAGGATATTCCAAACTCTGTATGGGTCCTCTAGAATATGGACCTGGGTCAGAGGTCCTTCGACTGGTGTGTCAGTCCTCGTACCTAACGACATTTTCTGCCATGGATTGCAGAGACTATGGCTGGTTATATAAACCACAAAATATCCAAGGTGATAGATTGGTTAAGGTGGTCCCATTCCTTGGCCACCAAGATCACCAGATCTCTCATGTCTGGACTTTTCCTTTTTCATGTTTCTGTCATGTTTGGACTTTTCATATGGCCCCACTTATATGAAAAACCTAATCTATGAGTTCCCCATTGAAACCGATAATGAATCTAGCCGCCAGGAACGGTGATTCTCGGGAAGTGCCTGGCGTATTCGCAAATGTGTGTCAGTGTCTGTCCCGCAGGTGTCATGCCTGCATTACAGTAGGTGGAATGCCTTTTGACCAATTTCTTTGAGAATGTATATCAATTACATTCCTATTAAAAAAAAAGTTTTCTGAAATATCTCTTGTCAATCTTGTGTTAATTCTTTAAATGTGACAGTGGAAAACTACCTTTTTCACCGCTTGCGTTCCAACCATACATTCTATGACGAATATTCCTCATATAGCTGCCTTCTATCATTCCTTTAAAGTTTTGCCCACTTGTTTAGAGTCACCCTGTATAAACAGCTAGAAAAAGAATACTTTTATACATTCACTTCTAACTATATGTATATCTTGAAATGAAGATGTAACAAAACAAACTTTACTTCATTTTCATTCCTTCCTTATGAAAACCTTAGGCATCCGACTAGAAAAATATCACAAAATTTCAATTCTGTTTTCCTCTGTGTTATAAAGATGGAAGAGAAATACTACATTCAAATAGGAGATTTAAATTATCTTAAAAGTTCCTTTAATTTTATCAGAAATTGCAGAACTTGTATTTCCATCTAGAGATTAAAGAGGATTCACACAATCTTTGCTAATTAACTACAGACATTGATGAAACTAATTATGTCTGAATTTGCCAGGAATTTTATATACTTAAAAAATGATTGGAAGACTGAAAATTCGAGTTAAAAAAGATTTATCCTCCCAAAATTAATAAAATCCTAAAATAACATTAAACTTAAAAAAGAGCTTATACCAATACAGAAGTTGTGGAGATATTATATTTTAAAAAAAAATAAGATAACTTTTTGAAACATAAAGTGATGTTACAATCCCCATATGTCATGTAGCAAATTAATTTGAAGATTTTACTTTCTATACGAATACAAAAAGAAACAAAGGAAAATTAGAAATTTTTTCTTTCTCTCCATCATCCTTTTTCTCATACACAGAGAAAGATTAAGCAAATATGATATGAGAATGTGGTAATCAAGTTAAATACTGAGAAAACTTATTTTTAATGAAACTTGGAGGATTTGAATGCCATTATTGTATCTTCCCCTCTGAATTCAATTTAACCAAATCCAACTGTGATATTTTTTATTGCACTTATTATTTGTGTTCAGGGACAGATTTATAAAAAATTCAAAACAGTAAGTCTGAAATTAATTAACTGTATTATTTTAATGCAAAATTGTATACTGATTAATCTCCTTCTGAACAGCTTTACTCGCAAATTGCTTTTGATTTAGCATTTCATTTTATGCCTTTTGCTTTCATTAACAAAGCTAAAAAACAAATGCTTACCACTTAACCACTTTGGATCAAACTGGACTGTTCTTAAAAATGGCTGTTTTCCCATTATTTTGTAAATTACAGGATCTCGACCAGAGAAGTCTATAGTTGAGGCAATATAATAGTCACCCTGAGATGTCATAAGAGCTGTATTATTTGCATAAGGACTATATGGGCACTTCGCAGTGCCATCAACCCAATCTTTAATAGATTTCAATGAGTTAATCTGAAATAAGAGGAGGAGGAAAAAAATTAAATTATGTTTAATTTAGAAAATATAAGTAAAAAAATTTAGGTTAAAATAACATGCCAAATAATGATTATTGTAGAAATCAAACAAGGAAAATCAGTGTTATACAGTCAAAAGTCATTAATCCGGACTCGTCGGGACTTCGGCGATTCCGGATTATAGATCATCAGTTTAAATCTGGTAAGATGGCATGCAGAAATTACAAAATTAAAAATATCAAACCGTTATTTATGAAATAAAGAACAATTATGATCTAAAGGGTATCAAAATTTACAAAAAGAAAAAGCTTAGTATTTATTTGTTTACTTTATTAAACATTTCTTTCAATGTAAGTTGCTTCGTTTCATGTGATAATACTTTCTCTTTAATTCTATTAAACAGACATAATTTCTTGTTTAGTTACAAAGTTCCGCTGTTCAAGTCCTATAATTGCTGTGTCGAGAATACCGACTAATTTTTTCATTTTCAATAACCTCTGTCACTTTCTTCACTATCGGAAGCGAATTATAATGACGAGGAACTTGTTTAAATCATATCAAAGACGGAGCACATCGAGATGAAATACTACATTTGGTAAGGAATTATAAGCCAAAATAAAATAAAAACATCTGCCCTGAAGATAAGGATAGTGCTGACAGATCAACTTCCAATTCATTACGCGCCGCAGCGTCCCCCCCCCCCGCCGAGCAGCGTGAAATTGATAAACAGATTTCAGATTTTGAAACATACTTTACATATTAACAAATATATATCGGAAATTCTATTTGATATAATCGAAAGTTTAAGCTTACTTTCATAAAATTGCTCTAACAGTCTGCAAAAAATAATAAGCCGGATCCAATTCGAAGATTAAGGAACAACGCAATCTGCAACATTAACTGAATTAGATAATTTTAGCTTAGCTTACATCGTCCGTTATACATTAAATGCGCATGCGTAAATGTTTTATGAGCATGCGCACAAGCATATTCACAGCCGTAAAGGTCTTACGCGTGCACGTAAACAGCTATGCGCATGCGTCAACACGACGCATGCGCAGAAAGTTTGTAGCTTTGAGGTTCGGATTACAGATCATTCCGGATTATGGGTGTCCGAATTAATGACTTTTGACTGTATAATTAATCTCCCCCCCTAAAAAATATACTCTAAAAGCTATTTTCCAACACCAACCCGAGATTCCCATAAGCCACTTTCAAACACCTGCTGATTAGGAAACCACACATGGCTAATGACAATACATTGACTGGTGTTAACCAGGACCACACATTTATAGCCGTTGCATGGTTGTGGCTTTCTATCTGATATAAACAAAATAAGTTAAGCTCCAGGACATACTCATTTTGAGTGAATAATGCTCACACTGGCTTTCTTTTGTTGACACAGCAGTGAGGAGGGATTAAGTGAACTAGATTCCACAGAACCTACTTACATTGAAAGAAATGTTTAATAAAGTAAACAAATAAATATTAAGCTTTTTCTTTTTGTAAATTTTGATACCCTTTAGATCATAATTGTTCTTTATTTCATAAATTACGGTTTCATATTTTTAATTTTGTAATTTTTGCATGCCATCTTACCAGATTTAAACTGATGATCTATAATCCGGAATCACCGAAGTCCCGACGAGGCCGCAGCCCACCAGCGGCCGAGTGGTAAAAATCGCTGAACACTGGTAGTTCGGTCCGAGGTTTGAATCCCGTGAATGGGCTGGCCGCATGGGCGTTTTCGTGGTTTTCCCATGTGTAACGTGTATACAAGCCAGTTTCCCTTAGAAAGTCCTCCACGAAGGCATCTCTCCCCTTAGGCAGATAGCCCTAGTGTGCTTTGCCATATTCTCAATACACCACCACCCGACGAGTCCGGATTAACGACTTTTGACTGTATATATTAAAATAGCATTTGCATACTATCTAATTTAAGGGATATAGCATATATCACCATTGCTAACTCTGGTACAGTCATTTGTATTTGACCTTTCCCGCAATTCTTTACAAATTATACATTTTGCAATGGTCTCTCACAAGAAGTCACCAACTGATGAAATTTCACTATGATCATGACCATAACTGTATGAATACTTGCAGGGCTGCCGCGTGAGTATTAGGCGTCCTTGTTCAAATTGAAATTTTCCGCCTCTCCTAGGGGTTCTGTTGCACTCTTATAAAGTGCTGCAAATTATATGTGAAATAATGAACTATTATCCATTGAACAACTTGTAGACTTAATTCCCATTGAACACCTAGTAACTAGTAGATTTAATTCCCACTGAACGCCATTAAACACCTGGGATACTCAAGGAAAAGATTCTGTCATTCAACACCAGTGCCCTTAACTGATTTATGGGAAATCATAAAACTTGTTTTGTAAGTAATATTTCTACTACAGTTTTGCAGACTTGTTAAATCCTTGCCTCATCATGTGACAGCCATTATCAAGATCAAAGAAACAGCAATGGATTATTAATCAGATTCCTTAATTCAGTGACATTTCAATATGTTTACTTTGGTATAAACAGTAAGTTAATCTGATGAAATTTCCCATTTCTGTTCTGGTATTACAGTCAAAAGTTAGAGTTATAATATTAAGATTTTTGAAATAAAAATATTTAAATGTTTGAAATAAAAGTAACAAAATTGTAATTAATAATAAAGAGTTTTATACAGGAAAATGTCCAATAAAATCAAACCTATTAATTATGATAGTCAAATTTATTCCTCCACTTCCCCCCCAAATAACTGGACTTTTTAAAAAGAAAACTTAAACCTGTGTGAGGATAGTTTATAATATAGTTATATATGATATTGAATAGTTTTTTTAACTTATATTAGTAAATTTACATCTTGCATGAACTGGGTAATTAGGCTATTCAATTCATCTCTAAATGATTGGTGTATAAAACCAGCTACTGGTAATATTTAGCTATAGTAAAAGAGCTGTGTGACTGTAAAATGAGAAAAGTTGCAGCAAATTTCAAAACTTAGTCATCCTAAAATTTTGAGAAATGCTTAAAAAAGTCAAATTTCAGTGCATTATTGACTGATAAAAAGACAGTGTGTATTCAAGAACAATAAAGTCTCTAGTACAACCTAAAAGATTCAAAATTAATGTGCAATACAGTCAAAAGTCTTTAATCTGGACTCGTCGGGACTTCGGCGATTCCGGATTATAGATCATCAATTTAAATCTGGTAAGATGGCATGCAGAAATTATAAAATTAAAAATATGAAACCATAATTTATGAAATAAAGAGCAATTATGATCTAAAGGGTGTCAAAATTTACAATAGAAAAAGCTTAATATTTATTTGTTTACTTTATTAAACATTTCTTTCAACACGCGCATGCGTAAAGCGTACATTACGCATAGTCGAAATTAGAAAATTGCAAACAGAAAAAACTATTTGATTTGTATTCGTGATATTTTTATAATGAAGAGGAATTTGATTTAAATCATATCAAAGACGGAGTACATCGAGATGAAATACTACATTTAGTAAGGAATTATAAGCCAAATAAAATAAAAACATCTGCCCTGAAGATTAGGATAGTGCTGACAGATCAACTTCCAATTCATTGCGCATGGTTAGAGAAACAAAGGATATGCCTTTATCCATTTTTTGCAGCAATCTACTTTCTGTTTAATGGACTTCGAAACATACTTTCACTTTGTAGATTCTTTACATATTAGTAAATATATATCAGAAATTCTATTTGACAAAATCGAAAGTTCAAGCTTACTTTTATAAAATTGCTCTAACAATTGCAAAAAATAATAAGCCGGATCCAATTAGAAGATTAAGGAACAATGCAATCTGCAACATTAACTGAATTAGATAATTTTAGCTTAGCTTAAACCGTCCATTACACATTAAACGCACATGCGTAAAGGTATTACGCGTATTGCGCAGAAAGTTTGTAGCTTTGAGGTTCAGGTTATAGATCAGTCCGGATAATATGAATGTAATTTGACTGTATCTACATTTTAAAAATTTTTTAGATTTTGCCATTCAGGTATTAAAAAAAAAAAAAAAAAAAAAATGGGAAGAGCAGATTCAAACGATTTTAAAAGAACTAAATTGATATAACTTTTAAATACATGCATTACATGTTCTCAACATAAAAGTGATAATATTTATTTGATAAGTGATAATATTTAATTGAAAAATGCAAATCAAACATAACGACATACCTCTCTCCAGGAACATTCTGGGAAGAAAGCATTTGTACCACAAGAAAACAGTTTTCCATCAAAGCTCAGTAACACTTTAATGTAATTCCTACAGTCTTCCTAAAAATAATGGGAATTTGATAATCATTTATATTATTATTGTATTATAAAAAATAATTTATATTTATGCCATTAATAAAACATTCAAGATGTGCTAACCAATATAAATAGTATTAACCAAAATAATTTGTGGAAATTATATAGGGAAGGTTATAAGGTTATTCTCCCACTTTCCTAGTGTGCCTTTGTGGTGTAGTGGTTCTGCACGCTGGGCCAGTATTCCAGAGATCCATGGTTCGATTCCCTGAGAAGGCGGTTGCTATTTTTCATCCTTCCTGCTTCCAAAAATATACCTAATGTCTCTACAAGGTTACATAGTGCTACAAAATACTGATAAACTGCTATTCACATATTAACAAAGATATAGCAGAAGCCATCTTTCTAAGATAATTTTTTGTTAATACTTTTTTTACTGGATATAATGCACTTTTCTCAACATGTATTGATTAAATATATGTAATAATTTTGACGCGTAGTCACGATGGCTGAGTGGACAGACGAACAGATGACGTGGACACGAATGAATATTCAAGAAGTCCCAATCTTTATTCCACACATATTAAACCATCTTAGTAGATATTTATCCAATCATAATGAAATACAGTAAATCTTATGTACACTGATTTTACAATTAATGATGTAGGCATTTGCGCCGTGAGTTTGGCAGAATGGAATGACATAGGTTATTGTGCCAAGAGTATTTATACCAAGTCTGATGTAATTCTGATAAGCTATGATTGGTTAATTTGAGGTTGCTATATATAACATAGAACAATCTCGAATTTGGGAGAACAGATGAATTTAGGTGGAGAGCACTAAATCTAGAATCGTTAATTTTGAGGTCGCCAATTATTTTTAAAGCAGCCATCATATTTTGTTATATTTTACACACACACATTCTGACATAAATGAAGTCTCCGTAATTCAACTTTATAAAAGCGAATTATCAGGATTTCAAGGCTATAGGTAATAGTAAGTAAAATGAAAGAATTTATTGGGGAGGAGAGACAAATAAAAATAATGTATTTTCTTATCTTTTTTTCTTCAAATGTCAGTATAAATGTGTACATCATTAGAAAAGAAAGAGTTGTCTTTTCAGTTGCTTATTGGTTTTAGACATTTTAGTCACTTTTCCAAAATGCAGCATTTTTTTTCTCCAAAATGGAATGTGGATTTTTAGACAGGTAGGTAACATCGCTTTGTATACTATATCCAGTTGCTATTTCCGACTTAGATTGATCACACTGTGTTTTTATTTTTTCTTTAAACAGATAAGAGGGCTCTCTACCTGAAGATGGAAGTGTCTCTATGAAACACATATTAGTACTAAATGAACTGTATTCATGAGAGAATAATGTAAAATTTTCTTTGTAAAGATTAATTACATAAAAAATACCTAAGGTGATGTAAAAATGTGTGGATAGTTCATATTGTTACGAAATGTACAGGCGTGGTAAGATAGCTTCACTGCAAATCAAGTTTTAGGGTTGCTATAAAATGGCAAGTAAAGACAGGGTTGCCACATTTGGCGAGAAATCATTCATTTGGCGACATGCCATGGACAGATAGAAAACCTTCTGGAACGAATTCGTACCGGTTTAGCCCAGAATGTTCTTAAACACAAGCCAAAAACTATATAAACCCTGCTGCTACGCGAAGAGAGAGTCCGAGATAGTTAATCTCGAGTTAGTCACTCTGTGTGGAGTCGATCGAATTGGCAGCCGGACAGCGAGTGCCGAGTGCAACGAAGAGTCTCTTAGTGTACTGCGGGTTAGTGCATCGTCGAGAGAGTGTGTTAAGCTCCGGGGAACGACTGAACCGAAGAGTCGGCAGCTGTGCTCTGTGTGTCGAGTGCATCGCGAGTTGTACTGTGGAGAGTCTCGAGAGTACGTGGAGTTCCGAGAACGACTGAGCAGAGTCGGGAGCTGTACTCTGGTGCTTTCCAGTGAAGCTGTCTCCACCGTTATAACTTGATAACCTGAAGGCTGTGTCGCTGATTGTTCCAGCGAGTTTATAGTACATATTCGACGACTGTAAAACGAGGTGTCCTGATTAATACCGGCCAATAAAGTGTGTTTTGATATTCCATAAAGTAGTGTTGTCTTTATTCAATCCAAATCTACAAATCCCGTACGAACGTGAAGGAAGAAAATAATATTTTAAGTGGTTTAAAAGCATTTCCATTAAAAATTTGCTTATACAAGTTAATATTCTAATGGAATAGTATAGCAGAACTTGCAATGACTGAGAATAGAATAACTTTATCGTGGTTAATATTTTTAATACACAAATAGCTTAAAATATTTAACACTCTACATACTTCACTTTTTCCTTTCAGGTAGCAAGTTTGAACTTTTTCCTCATCAGCGGGCCAGTGAGCTTCTTCAAGTTTTTTTAAACCTTCCAGACTTAGTCGAAATAAATAATCCCTAGAATATTTCAAAACATGCAGCTCAGAATGGATATGGGTATTACAAAAAACACTACAAAGTCAAAAAAATTTCATGGATAACATTTCATGACAAAATTCAGAGGAATGTAGCCTATAAAATTGGGATCTTTCATTAAGTAAATTAATTAATTAAGTATTCACTTATAACATAAATTATACTATAATATTACCTTGAACCTACAATTAGCTGATATCTATGAATGTCAAAAAGTAATTGACCATAAGACTTTACATTCCCTTGACTAAAAACGTCTATAGATGCTCTCAGGTCTGAAAAGATAACATAAATTAAAGAAAATGAAAATGCACATATAACATCATTTATCACTAGTTTATGTTTTCAAGATTTAACAGATTAGGTTAAATCACTTTTGTATCTTTTTCTTTACTAAACTGCTATCTTTCTGTTTTCAAAAAAATAAATAAATAAAGAGAGAGAGAGAGATACGAGACAATATAGGTTTTTCATGTTCATATTTCTTTAATTAAAAACCAGAATTCTATATGCAGTACTAAGGAGAATTGACAGAACTTTGTTTGCATGTTGTAAAATGCTATCAATACAGCAGAATACCTTTTGGAATATATAATAAAGAGGAATTTCTAACTGCAGCATAAATGTATATTGCTACCTCTGAGTTTAATTGTAAGAGTAAGGAAAATCAATATCATAGTAATACTATTTGAGAAATATGCATTTGAAAGACACTTTTCAAAAGAATTGAGGGAAAAAAAAAACTGGAAAAATTATAAGAGCATTTAAACAGCCAGACTTCTCGTAATCGAACCTTGGATAAAATTAACAGTATTCCATTGCTTTTAATTTTGATTTAAGCATTTTCTTTATGCTTTTAGTACCCATCAACCTCTATCTCTTGGTTTTACCATCTTTATTAACAATTAGTAACAATAACTGCCTTTTCCCAACTCAGCCTAGATACTTTTTTAATCCCAAAATCAGGTCAAAACTGAAATGTGTCATTCCCATCTCATACTTTTCATTTCCATTTCTTTGGCAGAGAAAGATGAGTTTATGTCCCTTTACCTATAGTTTCAACCAGGGCTGTGGAGTCAGTAGGGAAAATGAATGACTCCTGGAATTTTAAAGACTCTGACTCACTCATATACAGTCAAAAGTCGTTAATTCGGACACCCATAATCCGGAATGATCTATAATCCGGACCTCAAAGCTAAAATCTTTCTGCGCATGCGCCGCGTTGACGCATGCGCATAGGCGTTTTACGCGTGCGCGCAAGACATTTACGACTGCGCATATGTGTCTGCGCAAGCGCAGAATACGTTTTAATGTAAAACGGACGGTATAAGCTAAAATTATCTAATTATCTATTTCAGTTAATGTTGATGATTGCGTTGTTCCTTAATCTTCGAACTGGATCCGGCTTATTATTTTTGCAGACTGTAAGAGCAATTTTATAAAAGTAAGCTTGAACTTTCGATATGTCAAATAGAATTTCCGATGCTGGAGCTCCCAAAGGATCTAGAAAACGAAAGTATGCTTCGATGTCCATCAAACAAAAAACGAATTGCTACAAAAAATGGATAAAGGCATATCCTTTGTTTATCTAACCGTTCCGAAATCTGTTTATCAATTTTCACGCTGCTCTGCGCGGGGGGGGAGAGACGTCGCGGCGCGCAATGAACTGGAAGTTGATCTGTCCAGCACTATCGTTATCTTCAGGGCAGATGTTTTTATTTTATTTCGGCTTATAATTCCTTATTAAATGTAGTATTTAATCTCGATGTACTCCGTCTTTGATATGATTTAAATCAAATTTCTCGTCATTATAAATATCACGAATACAAATCAAATAGTTTTCTGGTTGCAATTTTCTAATTCCGGCTATGCGTAGGGTATGCTTTACGCATGCGCGCGTTTGAAAGAAATGTTTAATAAAGTAAACAATAAATATTAAGCTTCTTTTTTTTGTAATTTTGATACCCTTTAGATCATAATGCTCATTATTTTATAAATTACGGTTTTCATATTTTTAATTTTATAATTAATATAATTTCTGCATGCCATCTTACCAGATTTAAACTTATGATCTATAATCCGGAAAAATCGATAATTCGGAATCGTTGAAGTCCCGACGAGTCCGGATTAAAGACTGTATATATATATGTGTGTGACTGTATATATATATGTGTGTGTGTGTAAACATACTGAATTATCTAAAATTCACTGAGTACAAAAATAAGTTTTTCTTATAAAACTAAATACTATATGTAAACATATACACATGGGTCACAGCTTATTTTTTTAATATAAAAGAAGTAATAGATGCTACAGGTAAAAAAAAAAAAAAAAAAAAAAAAAAAAAAAAAAAAAAAAAATTGATGGCATAGCAAATTATTTATATTAATTAACATTTATTATGAAATGGGAAAACTGGCATTAGTTATTTCTAAGAAACAGTATAGCTTCGGCAAGATCTTTGTTGGAGGACCATAGATCCGATTTGATAAACTTCAGACCTGAGAAGAGTCTTTTCACACTAACTTGAGTAGGAGGAAGAGCTGTTACTGTTAGGGCTACTTCTTTTAACTTTTCAGGATAGATTTTTATAAGTTCTAAAAGAGGTGTCTTGTAAGCACAATCATATTTCTCTATTTCTTCAAAGGCCATGTAGAAAACTTGTTTGTATTTTTTCATTTTTATATTGAAAGGCTCTTGGTTCTTTATTTTCATTCGCTTTGCCTTAGCCTTTTCAATATTATCCAAAAATATTTCTCAAAATCTAATTCATCACTGGAAGAGGATGGTTGAGACTTAACTGCAATGTCTGCAGTTTGACTGTCCTGATTTGAATTCTCCAATTGTTCTGAGAATAATTTCATCCTTAATGAAGGTTTATAGATGGCTTTCTTTGCCTTTTTAATTTGTTCATCATCCAAGAAAATTCGGTGCTTCGGATCTACATATATTGAACCCGGCAAGATCTCATTGTCTAGCATACTAGTTTCTCTTTTCTTTACTGAAGAAAAGATTCCTTCTGCAATAAACCCTCCATTTCCGAAAGAACAAACATCCCATTCTTCCATTCTCGCCTCCTGTCAATTCTTCAGATTGCAGCTTTTTTGTTGCTATGTATGGTGTAGAAAGAAGAGTTTCCAATTCTGCAAGATAATTCCACAGTCTTTCTGTTAGGGAAACATTAGGATTATCTACTTTTTCTAAAAAGGTTTTAAATTCTGAAAACTTTATCATCAAATATGTACTTCCTTATTGCATTGCTTGATCAATAATTGCTCCTTTTCCTGCTCACTTCCTAAGAATGGCATCAATTTTAGGAGTTATTGCTGCTTACCTAAATTTACCAGTGATATTTGTAACTAAATGAATCAGTTTAATCACTAATGGCAACTATCAGATCCATCCTCCTCCCTTATATTTATTAATATGTCAATAAAACAGAAAATAACTATTTATTAATGTATACAGTTCATAAATAAAAATAACTCAGGTTGTCATTAATTTTTTTTAATTCATTTTAATTTCATATCAAATTCAAACTGTCCAACAAAAACTGGAGTTGGAGTCAGAGTCGACCTATTTTTAGCAACTCCACTCCGACTCCCTTTAACCCAAAATCTGCTGATTCCAACTCCACAGCCCTGGTTTTAACAATCACAAAATTTATATATCTTCATATCTTATAGACAAACTTTAATAAAAGCTTTCGCTCCCTACCATTTTATTTGCTTATTGCAAAATATTGTACTCATTACCGCAGGAATTCTTTAAAAGTCTTCGACAAAAATGATGGAATATATTGAAACCTAAAGCCCCAATTTAAGAACTGTTTGAAACGTGTTGAGATTTATATACACGTTCAATTTTTACAATTAAGATTAGCGTTTCTGAGCAGAAACAAGCAATTCAGCCAGCAGGAAAGAAGACAAAATTTTCTCAAATGTAAACAAATATGGCTGCTATAGTAAGAAAAATTAGTCTTAACCGCTTTTAAACTGTTGATAACTCTACAAATATTGCATGCAGATTAACAAATTCTACAAATATTGCATGCAGATTAACGAAAGGCATAAAACCTTAACCGGAAGATAAGAACAACATAATTCAATCATTTTTACAGGAAAAAATGCACAATTTACCACCATATAAGAATAGAAAAACAGCTCACGAAGCCGAGTAACACAGCGAGTATATGTATATATACATTTATTTACTTTAGGTGCGGCTGATTGTCACCAAAAAGGGAGGTATACAACTACATCCTATATCCGTCCTATATAATACAAAATTTGAACGTTCCGAGGCTACTCGTTTTTCAGTTATGCGAAATACATACATACACACGTGCAGACGCCACAAAAAAAATCTATTCTGAATCCATTTTAAATCAGTTTTATAATTTTTGGGGGGGGGAAACAGTCCTTTATTCTGTCCATATATACAGATATCATGCAAAAACATCGTTAAATTGCATTCGATAGCGGTCAAAATGGATATTTTCGTTGAAATATGGTACCTTGAATTTTTCGTGATTACTATACTTCGTACAAGGAAGTAAAAATTGTATTAATATTTTTCACAATCATCTGCATAGAAATGCTCTTCGTGTAATCTCATAACACCAGGAACATTTTTCGGTACTATTCTGTTTTGAGGGCCGCAAGAAAATTGCATCGAAAATGTATGTGCAAAAGCGCCAAATCTAGCAAAAGCGCCCATTTACAGCGCGCCAAATCTAGCGTACGCGTTGATTTCAAACTGCGTAAGTTTATATAGTTCTATATTTCTTAAGACGCCATTGAAATACTAGTTTAATTTTTAAATCCTTTTTTGATTTTAAATCCTCTTTTGATATCCTATGGATTTAACAATTTGGGAATTGCCCATGACGAAAAGTCGGCAATAGAAGTTTGGGTAAAATGCAGAATCACCCACTGCTTGACGCGTATTTAAGAACTGCACATACTTGGTATCCATGTGCACATCAACCTATTTTCACTTTTAAAAAAAATCCTAGAATTGCACAAAAATGGTACTGCGCACACCCTTGACTTTATCTATGTACACATCGACCTATCTTCACTTAAAAAGTAAAAATTGACAAAAATCCATTGTTTTTTTTACCCTTGTAAAAAGCGACAAACACAAGTGAGCGATTCTGCACTTTACCGAGATATTTTTCAAAGAAACGCATCATTCATTATAGAAAATTACGTTTGAACAACCAAAGAGATGAAATTATGCTTTAGCGATAAGTCGGTAGCGAATAGCGATG